TAGTATATAGTATTGCCATTGGCACCCTCGGATTGCAACACATGAACTTCTCTTCACCATCTTTACCTCTCTTCACTTATTTATCTCTATTTATCTTCAACCCCCAAAAGCCAAGAGCCTCTAAGAGCCTCGCGACTGGCCAGAAACCCAGCGTCTCCACCCATGTGTTCATATATTTCCCCAAACAGTTTACTGTTAGGGGTTCTCAATGCTTTAAAGAATGGTCGCCTTGGTGCTGGATGGTCTGGTCGGGTTGAGGGCCAGCTTGTCTCCCACTTCCTTGACTTGTCTCCCAGTTCTTTTCATTCCCCAAACAGGTTTACCTGTGAGGGGTTCTTACTCCTTTTAAAGGGGTGCATGCTCGGCCGGATGATTTTGAGTTTGTCTCTGGGCTTGTGTTCCTGGCCGCATGATTTCACCCTTGTCTCCCACTTGTCTCCCACTTGTCTCCCAGTAAGCTCTGGATCCTCTCAGTGCTCTGGCCGCATGATTTTATACTTGTCTCCCATTTGTCTCCACTTGTCTCCCAGTTGTCTCCCAGATACTTGTCTCCCATTTGTTTCCCACTTGTCTCCCAGTTGTCTCCCAATAAGCTCTCAATGCTCTCAGTGCTCTGGCCGCATGATTTCAGGCTTGTCTCCCATTTGTCTCCCACTTGTCTCCCAGTAATCCCACTTGTCTCCCACTTGTCTCCCAGTAAGCTCTGGATGCTCTGAGTGCTCTGGCCGCATGATTTCACACTTGTCTCCCACATGTCTCGACTTGGCTCCCAGTAAGCTCACTTGCCTTCCACTTGTTTCCCATGGCCTGTCTGGATGCTTTGTATCCCCGGACTTGGCTGGATGCTGGGCCGATTAATTTTTTGATGCGCACAAGGTCGTTGCTCTGTTGTATTTCTGGTGTTTCGAGTTTGAAAGCTGCATTGGCTGCAATGGGCCGTCGATGAGTTTGCCGGCTCGGATCATGAATGACGCATGGTTTAGTGTTGCAGTTTGCCAGAGGGACAGCTCGCCATCTTGCGACATGTTATCAGACCAGCTTTGTTACTGATTGCTTTTCGCGAGTGTTGCAACACGCGGAACATGGCTAAGCCAAAGAAGGCAACTGCGTAGGAAGGAAAAAGCCAAGCGCAGTGTCCGTGCTCTGAGGAAATCTTCATTTTGATTGGGTCTGCGCATTCGTGTTTACAACGGGGGCAACATATGTCACAACCTGGATCCATAAATTTCATGTTTTAGCCCTTGTACGGCGTCCCATTGTAAAGTCAATGAAAAACAGAATTTTAATGCTTTCCCTTTGAATCTTGTATGTGCGTCTACACGGTGGACTATAGTTTTCTTCCTCTAGGAAATACTGCTGGCCATATTGTTCGGAGATCTCATTTTTGAACATTGCTCTGTTTGGGGTCTACGCTGGTATAATTTCAATCCTCGTCACTCCATTTTCCACTGAGCTAGGAACAGAACCTAATAGCGTCCTTGCTACTAGTAGCGATGCACTTTGTTACTGGTAGCTTCTTGAAACTAGTAGAAATGCCAGGAGCTACTAGTAGCTTCTTTTTCACTCAGGACTACTGGCAGTTCGCCCTCCACGAGCGCCGCCTCCTCTCCACACCGCCGCTGACTCCCACACGGGAGTCCATGGCCGTGGCCCTCGGGCTAGCGGCGCTGGCGGCCGTGGTGGCCGGCGTGGTGGTGGCAGAAGAGCGGGACGAGCGGGCCAGGCGCGGCATGTCCGACCCCAAGAAGCGAATGGGGTTATTTAATGTTTTATCAACGGTCTTCTTTACTTGGGAGGAAGAGGTTCTGAAATGAGTCATGGAGTCATGAACAACGGCCAACAGGGAATTGGTTTGCACCAAAAGGGCGGAGCACGGCGCTCCGCATGGCCAAAGGAACCGTCTCTGGCGTTTGTGGTTCGACCTCCCAGTTCGACGCCCTGGAGGCAGAACATCGACTCAATACCACGTGGTTGGAGGGTCTCCCTGTTTCACACACACCCCAGATTCCCACTTTCATAGTTCAGGGAGTGTCGCGAAGGGTCGATTGGGGTTGGGCCTGTTTTTGTGATCGCAGACACGAGCAATGGGCAGACACGACATGGGATCTTCCGAGGACTCGAAATAGGGAGAAAGGCTTTCCAACACTGGGGATTAACTTTTCGATCAGTGAATGACACTCACGCAGATTGCTGCAGACATCCCCAAGCAGTGGATGCACATCATATCCTTGCCATATTACATCATATTACTCCGAATCTGTTCCCCTTCTCCGAATCTCCCCGCAGGAGCTGTAGAAGCTTTCGAGCAGACCTCCTTCGCGTGCTTTTGACCATGACCGATTCTGGGCTGCGGTGAGGGAGGACCGGTGAATGTGTGGGAGGACCGGTGAAGAGCTAAAGCAGGTATTTATAGACATAGACATAGACATAACGCTCAAAATAGCCAGGAACCCCGCAATGAGGCTCCTGCACAGCGGGAAGGGAAGTGAACACCGTTTCATGTGGAGGATCCCGACGTTGGGTTTCAGATGCCAAGGGACCCGTCACCGACGTTGATGTATTCGTCCTTCGACTGCAAGGGCTCCCGATGGTTCGTGCTGCAGGTGCTGCAGGTGCTGCAGGTACTTTCTCCCCTTTGATACTGTCAAGATGGGGCAACATCGGGTTCCAGGCTGCCCCCCCGCTCCCAATTTTGTGGCAACGCAAAGACATCAACAGTGGGGATGTAACACGCGCTTGGTCATCCCAAAGTGGGAATCCCAGAGTCCTTGAGATTCCGAAACAGCTTGTAACAAGTGACCTGCTTGATCCTGCTTGTATTAACTTACCCGTGTCTTGGGCAAGACGAGTGATCTGAATGGTTGTAATTGCTGTTCCACCCTGACATAGATTCTCTGCCCTCCCCGGCAGTTTCTCCTGAATTCTTGGGATGTGAATGTATGAATTATGCTGATGGACATGGATGAACCATCAAAATTGCACCTAAGGACCTAAGTTAGGAGCACAACACCCAACCACTATCAACCACCTCACCTCACCTCAGAGCTGCAGCCGCGAGCAACCGCTCCCAGCAGCTCCCAGGCGCTTTGGGCACATGTCTTCCACCATGGTAGCTGGCAACCTGTGGAGACACCAGGACTTTGGTTTGCCTCGCAGCATTTGACCTACAAGGCGAGCCTGGCATGGCTTCATGTCTTCGTGCCCTGCCCTGCGCCGCTTCGAACCAAAGCACTACCATGTGATTCCACCACGAGTCTCCTTATGAACCCAAGTGATAAACATGTACGAAGTCTCCTTATGATTACACTGATGTACATGTTGATCACTTGAGCCATGATTTGCCCCCCCCGAAAAACGTGTTCCTGGCCAGGTGAACGTGGGCTTTGTAGTGCTCTCCACCCACTTGCGTCTCTCCCGACCGAAGACGGGCCGGACGCTGCTGGGCGGTGCTGTTCAGCGCTATCTGCAGCTAGGTGGGGAGTCGCTGCACCGGTGCACGCGCGCGCGCGATTCAGGACGAGGATCCTCGACCAGTTCATGGATCCTAGCATCATACAACAAGAATCGGACTATGTTTTTGTGGAAAACGATTCCCTACGAGTCCTGACCTGGTAAAAAAACCTGGTCTTTTGCCTCCTTAAGTCCGGTGGTTTATATTCGTTTTTGTCCTGGGATCCTCCGTTCGCATGCAACACATGTGACACATGTGCAGCTCTTTGTTTTTCCTGATCTTTGTGTGCTTGTTCCCTTTGGCAGCTCACTTGTCAGTGTTTTGCATCGCAGACACCACGAGTGCAGGGTGACCAAGGGTTGACCAAGGCGACCAAGCAAAACCGTGAAGGAGGGGTGTTGCAGGTGGCTTTTTTTTTTGGTGTTGGCGTTGGACAGTTTTCCAAGAGGTGGAGGTCTTAACCCTTCTGATCTCATACAGACTACACAGTCCCCTTCTAGGTCACGTAGGTCAATCCCCCCGTTCGCAGGGTATCGCAGGGTTGTTTTGGGCTTCGTGAAAAGAACACTATGGGAACACCCAAGTGATGCCTTCCTGTCTGACCAAAGGAAAACCAACCAAACAGAAATCATTAAACACCGGTTCCCGCGCCGCTTGGGGGAGTCGGCCAGCGCGCCGGGAACGGCCGCAGCACTACCGCTGGGCCTCTGGACGATGATCTACCTCTTCGTCTTCGTGGAAGGCCACCGTTGGACACCCGCGTCGGTTTTCTGCGTCGGACACCCACGTCGTGGCCCTTCCAGAGAGTGAATACATAGGGATTCGAAGCAGTATCTATGTGGATGTTCCTTGCTCAAATAGTTGGTCAAAGCTCATCAAATTTTCCTTCGGCCCCTCGTGTTCTGATGTTTACGTTGGTTTTTAATGGCTTTTATGTGTTCTAAGGTTTTCGATCTCATTCTCATCCTCCATGTTCGCGGAAATAGACCCATATATGTTTCTTGATCCATCATGTGGTTTGGTTTGTCTCAGGGAATTGCTGAAGAAACTCAATTAAACATATTATATCTATAAAGAGGACGGTTATAGCATCCCAGTGTCAGTTGGGAGGCTTCATCCAGATCCACCTTCTCCGGCCTCTAGCTGCCCCTGAACAGGGTTTGACCTCAGTGTCCAGGCTTGCCCATGAACAACCTCATGAAAAGCAGTGGCCTCCACCGGTGGTACACCGAAAAAACGTCGGTGCCCTCAGTGCGGCTCTCACCGGGGTGCGGCTCGCCGTGTGCGCGACCGGGGTACCGGCCACCGGAAGGGGTCGACCGGGTCGAGCGGGTTGAAACCACTGGAGGTGCTGGCTTTTGAGACCTCAATTTCTGCCCCCATCTGACCTCACCACTTGCTGGACGGGCAGATGGGGTGCTTTGGGCGACCCTCTGACCCCCCCCACCCAAACTTACACTCTCTCCTTTCCGCAGCTGTTGGATCGGAACCGTGCGGAAGTCGAGCGCAGCGTGCGGAAGTCGAGCCATTGATGACTCCCATGCTCTCCATGCCAGCCGTGCCACAACAAAATCAGAGCAACATGCACGTCCGCCAGCAGGAGTGGCACGTAAGTGGTGAGATGTCCAAGTGTTCACATCTGGGTGGGGTGTGGGTGGAAGGTGTCTGAAGATATACAAGCATTGAAGTGGAAGCAATAGAAAGAGAGAGAGAGAGAGAATGTTCAGAAAGGCCTGCCATGCCTGCCACCTAACCATCATCATCCTCTGCAATGGGACATGGAAGACCCTGGAAAACGCGGGGCAACCGATGTCTTTTCCCTAACATCTGCAAGACTGGCTTTCGCTTCCAGAGACATCCTGCCACAATCGTAGTATTCCACGTGTCGGACAGGGCGTGTGTATTCTGATTGGAACTTGGCTCGAAGAAGACAGCAACAGCGACCCCATGGGGTTTTAGTCTACACTCGGACGAACACATCACATGGAAGTGGAAAACACTTGGTTCGGAAAGTCGATCGGTCGCCAAGCAGCGCGTGGGCGCTTGACGGGCGCGTTTCTTTGCCAGGAGGCATGGAACGTCCAGGTGATGCAGTTGCAATGCATGTTGGGATTCTGGAACAAGCAGCAAGCCAACTTCCCGAATCAGATGATGAACCAGATGAACCAGATGAACCCGATGAACCAGGCGAGGTTGGGGGGGGAGACGAAGACCTATTTCTAATTCTATACTTTAAATCACAACTACCTGCAGTCGCTGCCGCAGGTCGGCATGGGTCTGGCGCCCTGGGCCTGCGGTGCGATGCCAATGGCCTTTGCCCCACAGGGCATGGGCATGCAAGGGATGATCGGCATGCAGGGTGCTTTTCCTCAGACCATGCCCTTCTGCGGGCCGCCCAACTTCGAGGGCCCACGATTCTTCGCCTTCCCAATGGCACCGGTGCAGCAGCAGGCGCGGGTCGATGCGGTGAGCGTAGAGGAGCGTAGACTCGCTGTCGACATCGGTCCGTCGCCGGTCCGTCGTGCGGAGGATCCCAATATGGCACAGATGGGGCAGAGCTCCTCCGCCGATTGGGGCCAGTTCCAGGTGCGGTCTTCGACCGAATTCGAGGTGTCGGGAGACCTTGGAAAGGCCTTACTCAGAGTGTCCTCCCTGTTCCATCTTGTTTGAGACAAACATCAACAAAACATCTCCAGCAAAAAAGATCACGGCATAGATGGCATAGCAAAAACTGTTGGCTGTTGGCTGGTTGATTTACATACTCTACGATTCTTTCTTTCAGGACACCAATTTCTAGCTTCTCACGGAGAACAACCGATCCCCATCCATCCGCACAAACCGCAGGGCTATGAGCAGCCCAAAGTCTGGCGCTGGGCTCCTCCGGCTCCACCAGCCCCGGCGGCCGCACCTCCCGCCCCAGAAGCGGACATGCCAGATGACGTGAAGGCGTCCACCTGGCCGCATGGGGTGAAGACACAGGTTCGTGGGGGATGATGTTCAGGTGCCACATCCCCACCCGAAAAAGGGCCCCCCCCATCACACGGTTGCTTGTGGATTTTTGGCGCTTCTTCCACCCCCCAAAAACGCCACACCGGTGACCAGTGCAAACATCCGTGCGCCAGGACTTTGTTGCCAAAGCATTGGATGCCCATGCCTGCTGGGTCGCTTGGACCGCACCGTGAAGACCTGAATGCCTGGAGCACCGAGTCGAATCCCTACCGGACCCCCCTTGCTGGTGCGACGGTCCCGGTCCATACGTCGCGGACGCACATCGTGCGTGGGGTCTGAGGACCTGCAGGACTTCATTCCAGATGCCTCGAATGCTGAGTGGCTCGGCATCGCCACAGGTGGGATGGGGATCGAACGAAAACATACACGCACACACACCGTGCTGGTGGTGTTTGGTACCATTCAGATCCATTCAGGTATATACCCTAGAACCCAATTGACCTCTGTTTTAATAGGAAAAGACCATATTTTGGCTCCAAAACAGGGGTTAATCAGGTTCTAGGTATATAGATAGGTTATATGGATACACAGCTTTGCACTTGTCCTTTGAGCCTGTTAAGGCTGAAGTTCATGGCAACCCAGCTGCGCGGACACGTGCGCGAGGCGAGGGCATGTGCCGGGCACGTGGTTGTTGGGAGACTTTGGTCGTTTTGTTTGCAGTCGGGGATTGGCTCGACAACGGCCTCGTTCCACCCTTCTTTTGGATAAGGATGATGCGACCGCGCGTCGGAGAACATGGGGTTTATATTGATTTCCTATTAGGCACATGTTAAAATTTACTAGTAGATATGAGTGATACTCTCTTTACAGGATGCGTGTTTCTTTTTTCCACCTCGCGCTATCGCATTGCTTTCTCGTCCTCAGCCACGCGATCCCATCGTCGTGCCGAAGCAACACACGGTATGCCGCTTTTTCTCGGTGCCGGCCGTGCAGCTTGTGCTTCAGCCTCCATCCATCTCCATCCACCGCTGCGCTTCAGGTGGTGGAATCGCCGCACGGCAATCATGTCCTCCAACGCATGTGCCTTGTTCCGGTCACGTGAACATGGCAGACCCGTCGGTGTGTCACAGATTCAAACACGGCTTCGAGAATCCAGTGTCTATTCTGTTTATCCCTGGAGCTTCAAAGGGGCGGGAGGCCACTGCGCGATCTCCAAAGTAGTGGGACTGAAGAACGTTGATTACTGCTTTCAGAATTCGAAGGGTTGAGGACCTAAAGGACTGAAGGTCTCTAATGCACTACCCTACACTACCTCTTGGAAGGTGCTATTAGTTATAGTTATATAAAACAAGAATAATATTTACATATTATTGTCATTGCATATTGTATATTTGCTGTACAGACTTGTTTCTTTTTTGGGGGAGATTGGTCTTGGTTTATCCGAAGTGCCTTGTTTGACCGGGACCGGCGAGCCTCGCTGTTTCAGGTTGGAGTTCATGCCGGCGAAGTCGTTGCATTTCGTGCTCGAAGAGATGCTTGCCTGGGCGCCTGCGCCGGTGCTTGCACGCCACCGCTATGGCTGCCGCGTGCTGGAGCGGGGGGGGCATCGGCCGAGGGTTAACGGGAGAGCGAGCTTCTGAGAGAGTGGAATGGAGTGGAGGGAGGGATGGTTCGGATGATTTCGGATTCTCAAAAGGAGCTAAGGGAATGTGTGGTTTACATTTCACTCGATCCATCATTACATGGGGAAAATAGGAAAAATCTCCACAAGTTTTAACGAGTTTGGCCGTCTAGGCTCCGCCCAGACGCATGACAACACATGCCTAGAACGAATTTGTTTGAAAGCTGCCCACACCTGTTCCTAGTCCATAGATATATAGGGTGTGTCCCATTACCAACAACAGTCGGTAAACGATTGTCACTACTTTTTGAGATGTCCGCCTTTGCTAATCGTCATCGTCATCGTCATCGTCGTCATCATCATCATCATCATCATCGTCATCCACTGTTATACCCAAAGTCCATCTGATTTTCATGATCTCCGACCCGTTTCATCATTTTCATCTCCCATCCCCCTATAATGCGCCCAAGCCCAAGCCCCCCAAAAACCCAATATGGACATCCATCCGTGTACAGGACCCCCCCAAAATCACACTCCATTTCTTCAAGACCGCACGCGGCGCGGCGGTGCCCACAACGGTGCGCGCGCCGCGAGGAGCGCATCTTGGAGCACTTCGCTGAGCCCGCCATCAAGGGATTGCTGGAGGATCTCTTGTACTATGCCAAGGACGCTCGGGCTCCGGGGCTCCGGAGCCAGGAGGCCACGAACGGAGCGAGGCTACGGTCGGACGCTCCGAACGGGCCTCCTGGCCTTACTAGGAGCAAGGACGCTTACTACCGACTGGGTGAGGGGAGATGTCTGGGCGGCGGTTGGGGGTGGGTGAATCCATTAGATGGTTGTTCTTCCGCCCGGATGAGGGATCTTGCCGTGTGACCGGATGAATTCAAGAGAAGAACACCTCACCATAGGAGTCCTCAAACAAAAGCAATGGGGTTTTGCAAGGCAGTACATACACTTTGTATAGCATGAACTTGTACTCGTACGTGAGCCCCTTTCTGGCTGAAAATAGCGCGCTACCCGCTTGCATGGTAGCGGAGCAGGGTGAGCTCCTGCTCCGGGTCCCCTGTTAGACAGGGTAAGACCCGCGCTCGGGCGCCTGCGTGGCGGACACCCTGTAAATCCACGTTGTGGTGTGGGCACGGTGTAATTCCTCCCCGAGTGGAGGTGTCAAGCAGCGCCCATGGCTTCGAATGCTGCGCCGCTTACTCCGCCAGGTGCATTCTCGCTCGGAGATTCCCTGGCTGCGGCAGCTGAAGCAGGTCTTCTACCTCAACAACAAGCTCAGCAGCAGCAAGCTCAGCCAGCCCTTCCAGCTCAGCAGGTCGGCGCCAGTGGTCTCATCGACACCAGAGCCATTGGCAAGTTGAAAACCTTTTCAGGCAAAGAAGAGGAATGGGCAGCCTGGGTCTTCGTGGCAAGAGGGTACCTCAACTTGCTGGATACAAGCTACCAGGCCCTCATCCAGGCTGCAGAGAATGCCAACCGGTACAGCGACCTGATCCTGAGCGATATGGGGCAGCACGCCCAGGAGAAAGCCATCATCCTGTTCAACCTCCTCACCCAGAGCGTTGATGGCAGAGCCCTACAGGTGTTGATGAGTGTGGAGAATGGAAATGGCTTCCAGGCTTGGAAGGCCCTCTGCGAGGCCTATGAGCCTGATGTTGGAGGAAGGCATACAGCCATGCTGATGAGCATCATCGCCCCGGCTTGGGAGACTGTCAAGGAGAACGATTTCCTGGAATCCCTGGAGAGTTGGGAAGTGCTGACGAGGCGCTATGAGATTCAGGCCAAGGAGCATGTCTCGGACTCCACAAAGATTGCAAGCATGCGCCCATGTCACTGAGGTCAGCCCTGAGGACTGCTGGAGCTCAAGTTGGGACTAACTATGAGCGAGCAAAGAAGTTTGTGCGAGATTTCCTCCAAGCAGGGCAATACTACAACGCCAAGGGCGAGTTGGGCAAAGACGATGGTGGAGCAGCACCGATGGATGTTGGTGCAGTGTCCTTTGACAAGGGCAAGAAGGGCGGCAAGTCAAAGAATGACAAAGGAGTCAACAAGGGTGGCAAGTTCGACAAAAAGGGAAAGCCACCTCCTCCAAAGAAGTTCAACGGTGAGTGCTCCTACTATGGAAAATGGGGGCATAAGAAAGCTGATTGCCGCTTGCTGGCCAAAGACAAGGCCAAGCGTGAGGGAAAAGGAAAAGGTGGCAGCACCAATGCCATCACAGCGGCATCGTCATCGGCAACTGGATCTGCATCCCCTGGTGGTGGACAGAGCACCAATGCAGTGTACTACTGGCTGCCTGGTGATGGAGAGCGTGTGAACTGGGCAGACGCTGAGGACGTCTTTGACATCGAGGATGAGTACTCAGACGAGATGTGGGTGATGATGATTCACCGAAGCAAGCAGCCATCGGACTGGCACTTGCTGGCATCCCAGTCGCCTGACAAGGAGATCAAGTACCTCCTGTGGGATTCAGGCAGTGATGAGCATCTATGTCGGCCTAGCTTTGGCGGCAACCGCCACACTGAGGAGAGTGAGGTGAAGTTGATGGGCATTTCAGGACAGTGCCTTGGACGACTCGGCAAGAAGAAGGTGAACTACAAGATCATCGGCGAGGACAACAAGTTCTTGAATGCAGTCACCGAGTTCAAGGTCAGCGAGCAGGCCAGCAAGGATGTCCTGAGTGCTGGGAAGATGAGCAGGAATGGCTTTGCAGCTGACATGAGGAATCCCATGAAGCCTTTCCTCACACACCCCCCAGCTGGACTTCAAGATTCCCCTGTATCTTCACTGCAACTCCTACTATGTCAAGGTGCGGGACGACGAGACGATCCCCATGGACTTCATGGTGAACACTGGTGTGGTGGCACCTGTGGCAGGTCAAGGAGAAGAATATGAGTGGGAGTATGCAGGCATTGAAGATGAGGGAGAGGGGATTGAGATGGTCCCCATCCCACAGGAGTTTGCAGAGGATGAGGCCCATGCTCGAGCTGACCGTCCACGACTACATGGATGGAGCAAGGTGGAGGATATGAGAGCTAGACTACGAGAGCTCAAGGAGCCTATCCATGGTGACAAGCACACCTTGTGGAAGAGGTTGCAGGCTGCAGAAAGAGCTCTGTCGATCAGGAGGGCACGGGCACGAGACTATGTTGAGAGAAACTCTGCCCGACAGCAAGCCTTGCGTGAGGGCAGAGAACCTGATGTCTCCTATGTGCCGGTACCTCAGAAGCCGGACACGGAGGAAGTTGAACGGCACCTGATCACACATCTGCCGCCAGCACCTTGGTGTGAGTTTTGCACCAGAGGCCATGCAATGGATGATCCCCATCGACGCAGGACAATGGAGCAGAAGCTGGCCGAGAACCACATCGAGCTTGACTACAGCTTTCTCAAGACAGATACATCCATTGCAGAGCGGTTCGAGGAGAGCTCAGACACGATCCTCTCCATCGTGGATAGCGGCACCGGGATGGCCCTGGCAATGTCCATTCCTGGCAAGAATCTGGAGACACCCTATGTGATCAAGACAGTGACATCCTTCATAGCACAGCTGGGCTACATGCAGGTGAAGCTCCGAAGTGACAATGAGCCTGTGATCAAGAAGATCGTTGCCAAGATAGCTGGTGCACTGCGAGAAGGGAAAGCACCAGGAGCTGAAGGACTCAAGATTCAATTTGAAGAAGTGCCAAGGTACTCATCTCAGAGCCTTGGAACAATGGGAGCATTCCAGAAGTTGCTCCGTGGTGATGTCTTGACCCTCAGGTACCAGACAGAGGCTAGCTATGGCATCACGCTCCACACCTCACACAACCTGTGGCCATGGTTGGTGAGGTGGTGTTCATTCGTCAGGAGCAGATTCAGCGTCAAGGGCAACCAAAGGACAGCATATCAGGATGCCTTCGACACGGCATACACCTCGCAGTTGGTGCCCTTTGGTGAGACTGTGCTCTTCAAGATCCCTATGAGTAAGGCCAGAAGATCCCACAACAGGGCAGTGGTGCCCAAAGGGGAGACGGCATGGCGTCAGGGCATCTTCCTTGGGAGAAGTGTGACCAGTAACGAGTATCTGCTGGGAACAGAAGATGGGACAGTGACGGCCAGGAGTGTGCGCAGATTGGCTGATAGCAGCAGGCGCTACAACAGAGAGCTGATGGAGAAGATGATCGGAGTGCCGTGGGACATGGGCACAACCATTGGCAGGCCGAAGAGGAAGGCCGACATCGCCTTGCCTCAGACACCAAACCTGATCCCGACCGAAGAGACGGCCAAGAAGAGCCCCAGGCTGGAGCCGAGTGGGGAGGTCATCCAAGAGGGGGACGAGGGAGACTTTCCTGTACAATCAGGTCCTTCGTCGACATCGAGACCTACGGCTGATGTGGGCGGTGATGAGGCAGCACCTATGGATTTGGGCATGTCTGCAAGACGGGCATGGGCAGGAGAATCTGGTGAGATGACTCCAGAGGCCAAGAGAGCTCGCGTGGCTGGAATCTTTGTGGGTGCATTGTACTCGCCAACAGAAGACACCATTGTGTGCGAGGATGACGTGGACCAGGCCTATGAGGACTCAGACAATGAGGAGAGCAAGCCTTTGAGCAGGCAAGAAATGGATGAAGGTGATGCAGAGGAATTCCGCAAGATGGACAAGTACCAGACCTATGACCCTGTGGAGCAGAAGGATGGCATGAAGATCCTGGATGCTGTCTGGGTCAGAACCCGGAAGCCTGATGGCTCGGTGAGGTGCAGGTACTGTGTGAGAGAGTTCAAGCGGGGAGACCCGCGCACTGATGTGTTTGCGGTGGCATCCAGTACCTCAACGTCAAGGGTCATTGATATTGTGGGCATCAAGATGGGCTACAGCTTCTTGACAGCTGATGCAGAGAATGCATTCTGGCAGGTGCCAATTGCAGAAGAAGCCTACATGAAGCCTCCCAAGGAGTGGTTGAAGAAGATGGCAGACAGCGGAGTCGATCTACCTGATCGCGTGGTCTGGAAGCTCAACACTGAGTGGTATGGCAGACGCATTGCTGGCCAGGCCTTTGTGGAATGGGCAGCTGGGCATCTCAAGGAGATTGACTTCAAGAGGAACCCAGCAGCGCCATGGATGTTCTACAATCCGGCCAGTGGCGTGTTGATGGAAGTGCACATGGATGACTTCTATGCCACAGGACCAAGAGCAGCTTTGCTGGAGTTGGAGAAGAAGCTCCATGAGAAGATCAAGATGAAGAGTCAGATCCATGAGAACAGCGTGGGAGAAAAGTGGACGCACCTCAAGAGGACTCGTGAGGTCATGGATGGCGGCATCTTCCTGACACCCCGTGGGAAGTACATCAGCGACTTGTTGAAGATGTTGGGTTTGGAAGAGTGCAATCCGGCTCCAACACCATACCTGTGCTCGGAGGTCAAGGAGGGCAACAAGTTGAGTGGGGAGAGCTTGAGAATCTACAGGGCAGGAGTTGGCATTGCTCTGTACCTCTCCTATGACAGGACGGATGTGCAGTTCGCAGTTCGTGAGCTGACCAAGGACATGAAGGAGCCTACAGATGGAAGCCTACACAAGCTGCATCGTTTGGCACGCTACCTGCAGGGCACAAAGGACTATGGCGTGTGGTTGCCCAAGGAGGGTGAAGTCGAGATTCTGAAGGTGCATTCAGACACTGATTGGGCAAACTGCAAGAAGACCCGGAAGAGCTGTGCCTGTGCAATGTTTGAGGTTGGCGGCTGTTTGCTGTTCAGCTATGCCAGGAGCCTCCAGATGCTTTGCCTGTCGTCTGGCGAAGCTGAGTTCAATGGTGGCGTGGCTGCCTGCAGTGAGGGATTGTTCATGAAGGAAGTGTTTGCCTTCATTGGCTTCCCGCTCCAGATGGAGGTCTACCTTGACAGCAGCGCAGCCCGTGGCGTGTTCCAGCGCCAGGGAGTTGGGAGGATCCGACACCTCGAAGTGAAGTCATTGTGGGTGCAGGACGCTTTGCATCGAAAGCTGTTTAGCTTGCATGCTGTGCCAAGCCACGACAACACAGCAGACTTCGGCACCAAGGCTTTGGCAGTGAAGAGGTTCAATGTGCTGAGGTTGAAGCTGGGCATCGGGCTGAAGGAGGAGACAGCCTATGAGCAGGAGAGCAAGAAGCATGTTGAGAGCATCAATGCCATTGCCCTCAGCGGGTTCAGCAAGCGGGCCCTTGTCATGGCCATGCTGACTCTCTTGCAGAGCGCTGAGGGAGTGAGGACTGAGGAGCCCAATACAGAAGCATCAAAGTGGGGATTTGATTGGATCTTCACGGACCTTGCAGTGGCCTTTGGCATTTTGCTGGTCATGCAGGGCACGGCTTTGTGGTGGTGCTTCCGCATGGTGAGAAGGCACCTTGCCTTGAGTGGGGGCTTGAGCTTCAAGCCGGCGCGGCCCGAGAGCAAAGATGTGGCCATCCAGTGCGAGAGGAACACTGGACGCTTTTCGGAAGTGTACCTGCTGGAGGGCAGGGATGTTTTCCACACGGACTCGACATGTCGGGGCTTGCATCAGAGGACACGCCCCTATGTACAGCTAAGGAGCTGTAAGTGCTGTCCCGGGATCGGTTTTCCTTCCATCCCGTATGCAAGCGATGCCTTGTAAAAGAAGTTTGAAGATGAACCCCTTTTAAGTGGGGTGCAAGGCAGTACATACACTTTGTATAGCATGAACTTGTACTCGTACGTGAGCCCCTTTCTGGCTGAAAATAGCGCGCTACCCGCTTGCAGGTTTCCCTATGGACAAAACATCTCCAAACACCCAGCCACCTTCGCTAGTTTTCTTTTTCTGGGTTGCAGCATGGTCCAAAGGCTCGAAAAAGACTCGAATACCGAGGGTTTCTCCTTTGGAGACCAGTTTTTTTGGGGGGGTCAAAAGCTCCATCCACCGCACCTGCAAGACACCTGCCTGTCGCTAGACTCCAGAACCCATCTCTTTTCAGCTGCGCCTTTGGGCCAGGAGCTGTGCCTTCATCCCTTCGGAAACTTTGTCATGCAGATCTTCATGGCCGGGTTTGACGCGACGATTCGCTTCGCTTCGCTGCTCGCGGTCGCAAAAGAAACGCGGCGACAACGCGGGTGAACACCCCTTTGAAGGTTCAGAATATGTCAGCCCCTTGGGTTCGCTTGTCTTCGCAGCATGAAACAGGTATATACTCCCCGCAAACCAACATAGAACCTGAGAATTGACCCATGGAAGACCATTTTTGGAATAGATAATACCAACCCGACGTGGTTTTGGGGTTCCATGTGGTTGGAATCGCAGGGGAGCAAGTCTCAAATTTATACAGTGAAGCCTTGCTCGCTGTTTGGAGGGGAGGCCATCGCTCCAACGTTGGAGGCCATCGCTTTTAGGGGCCAAAGGTCTAACCCTAGGCATCCAAGTACCTTCTCAGAAGGTGATTGGAGACACTGTTATTGTGGTGGTTGATCGGCTGTCGATAGCCATGAGGAGACGGTCCTTCCAGTTGTTGGCCTGGAGGCATTTGTGGTTCTACTTGTGTTAGCAAGTTTTTTCGACCCTTCGATTCAAGTGACCTGGGGGAGGTTCTTCGTTTCTTTTTTTTCAGAAGAGGCAGGTCGTTGTATCCTTTCTTCTCCTTGTTCGTCTGCTCCGCAGGAACACTCCCCGACAAGCTACCGCAAGGCATTGATCGAGATCATTGCACAGTGCCTTGGGCCCTTAGGCGGTTGGGCGCTTGAATTGGGTGTAATGGATCGGCATGACCATTTCGAAGGATCAGAATCATCCAGATCCTTCGATCATCATGGCAACAAGAGATGAACACATCCTTCAGTGTCATTCCATTACCAGGAGCTTCAAAGTGACCTTTTGAGATACTAGAATGAGGACACTTTGTCCCCAAAGAGGTCACTTGGAGACTCCAAAGAGGTCATTTTGCAGGTCCTGGTAGATGATGGATCATCATCATTCCACTGTTGGGGGCGAGGAACATCCAGGGGGCCCAAGGGCGGCTCCATCGCCTCCATCGCCTCCATCGCCACGCCACTCCAGGAACATTGTCCCCATTGCTGGGGACCACAACGGCTGCGCCGTCCTGGAGAAGGGCCTGAGCTGGGGCAAGGCGTGCTACAGGGCCGAAGGTGAACACCTCCCGCCGACGACTGCCACGATGCCAGGACAATGAGCGCAAGACCCTCGTGAAAGCCATCCTCAAGGTGCTGAACGACGAAAAGGAATCGACGGAGAGCCGGGTTTTTGTTGGGAGAGCCGGTAGAGAGGGGGTTGCCTCGAGTGGTAGTGGTACACTTCGATGTGGGGTGTCATGGATGAAAGGGACTGAAAAGGAACAAGGACCCCGGTAACAAGGACCCCTTATGATCATGAACTTCGAACATCCAAATACCAAACGGGTGCATCCCCTTCCGGCTTCTGGGTCCAAACACCACTCCTGAAAACCAGAGGTCGATCGACCCCTGGTGCCGGGAAGAGAGAGAGAGAGAGAGGGAGAGGCGGGCTCACCTTCCCAGATGACCACAGTCTTTCCAGACCACCAAAGTCGTCAGAATCGCAGATTTCAATAGATATATTTTTGAATCTTGAACAGTCTTGAACTATGTCATAGGTCCATGAGTGGATCTCAGTAGGTCTGGATCATATAGGTCTGCTCTCAGACCCCAGAATCGATCCTCGCAGAGCGCGCTGCGACGCGCTGCAGGTGGAAGGCTTGCTCCCAGCCATGAAGACTCTCCGTGGCTTGGAACGGCAAGAGGTGCAGGTGGTGCGCCCTTGCGGAAAAACTGAGATGGGGGGCCGACCTTTGTAACCTTTTGGGCTGCCCAACTGGGCTTTGTTTTTGGAGTGTTGGGTAGTTTCCCACGTTGCTCTGGGTCAAAGCCCTGTCTATATAAGATTAGGAGATCCATGAATCGGTCACGTCCGTGTCATCATCGTGCTTCACCCGTCGGACTTCACGGGTTCTGTCGTGCTTGACCACCCGAACACCTACCCAAGGAAGAATGAGGAAGAGCGGGGTCAATGTGGGTCACCTTTAACATGTTCAGATTGTTTGTTTGGATTTCCGCACTCCAGTCCCACAGGTGGAACATGGTGGAACCGCCCTCTTCGGAGCTCCTTTCGAAAGGGACCAACCTGGCCCAACCTGGCACCTCTGCGCACGTGTCCGTGCAGAGTCCGCCGGTTCCTCGCTTCTCCCTTGAGCTCGCTCGCGCTCGTTCCGTAGGCGGCGGAGCCATGGCCATCGAGGGCGTCTTGGGCATCGCCACCGGGTGGGCCTTGAGCGAGGCCCAGCGTCAGCTGTCCGGAGGCGCCGCCGCCCGGTTTTGTGGGTGTTGGGTGTATTGTTTAGGTGGGTGTGTAGCGAAAGAAAGAATGATCACATCGAGCCAGATTGTACTGTGCAAAATACAGTACATCAAAATACCATAATGATAGAATTACAATCACATTTCACCAGCATTATGACTTATAGCTTTTGTTGTTGTTATTCACTGTGTTATACTCTATGTCTATTTTGTTGTGTTCTCCTTTAAGCCACCAATCAAACGCCACCGGTTCTGGTTCCGGTGACGCAACTGGACCCCTTCGAAGCACTCGCACTCGACTGAAGCACCAAAACACCGACCGGCCCGCTTTGAGGCTCCGCAAAAATGATCAAGAGCCGTGGAAGGCCGGGAGCTTCGCGAAACGGCCGGGGGTTGGGCTGTCAGCCGCGTGATCCTCGCGTGATCCCTCGCGTGATCCGGTCAAAACGCGGTAGATGGGTGAGAGCGTTTAATGGTTTGTTGGTTCCGGGTGGAAGTTAGAGACGGAGACGGGTGGAAGTCGTTTCATCCCGGGAGGTGGGACGGGGCAGACTGGAGGTAAGGCTCCACGAGCCATTCGGCTGGAGCCATTCTGCCTCAGGGGGGAGTTTGATTCATCATCAAGATTTACATACCAGCACCTTCCTTAAGGGGTCTTCAACGGACTAATTACCCCATTGAACACCTCTTTGAAGGCTCAGAATATGTCAGCCCCTTGGGTTCGCTTGGCTTCGCAGCATGAAACAGGTATATACTCCCCGCAAACCAACATAGAACCTGAGAATTGACCAGTGGAAGACCATTTTTGGAATGGATAATACCAACCCGACGTGGTTTTGGGTTTCCATGTGGTTGGAATCGGGGAGCAAGTCTCAAATTTATACAGTGAAGCCTCGCTGCTTGGAGGGGAGGCCATCGCTACAACGTTGGAGGCCATCGCTTTTAGGGGCTAAAGGTCTAAGGGAAACATGACGCTGCGTGTTTTGCCCCTCACGTTACGCTGCTCGCAGGTGGCGTGCACAGGATCAGCAGCGCCGCGGCCGTCGCTCCTAGTGGAACAAAGTCGGATTCAGAAACTGCACTGTATTCAGAAACTATTTCGTTGTATTCAGAAACTATTTTCGTCGTATTCAGAAACTAGTTCGCCGTATTCAGAAACTATGTTCGTCGTATTTAGGGTGAGGTGGGGGGGGGCAGCAAGCTTCCATAGATGGTTGCGCGTGGGGCAGGGGCATTAAGCTTATGTGGATAGTTGTGTAGTTTCCGATCAATATGCGTTGCACTTCGCGAAGACGGCGGCTTGAATTCCATGATTCAGCAGTTCTTTTTCTCAACACCGCCAATCCTAACATATAATAACATATATTCTCTTATAGTCTTTTAACATAGTATTATATTGTTGTTTTATGTTCTTTTATATGCCTTTATGTTTTTTTTTTACAATCTTTTATAAGACGAAGAGGGTTGCAGTATTGCAGACTGCCCCCCCCTCCTAGTGCCTTTGGACCTGCACAGAAACTGAGCAGTCTACAAATGCTGCTCTTTGTAAATACTTGTCCTCTGCGGCGAGATCCGATTCCGCGGCCATTCTGAATCAGAGGAGTCCATGATCTCAACTGAGTCCCATCTCGCCGAGGATACAAATGCTCATGGCGCTGGCCATACGTTCGTAATTAACCCAAGCTTTCGCTCGTGGAAGGTGCTGCGCTATGCGGCACGGCAGTGGGCAACTCCCCTCAATGTATGTTGAGGACGACGAGCGTCCGCCGTGGAAACGGACTGGATCGTTGGATTCAATGCTGAGGTGTACTGATCAACAATGGCTCTTTTAACAGATTGAACAATTTCTCTCTTAACGAAACACCATTTCTCATCCCCATCTTACTAGCGTTTCTTGATCACAGAACTCCCGGTTTGAAGCACTCATCCAAAAACGGCACTCGATTCAACGGAGAAGATATAGGGTGGCTGGTTGAAGGATCCAGATCGAAATCAGCAAGAACCTTCATCGACCGAATCGAGGCTCCGGTCGGTTTGCGACCTGTAAAAACAGGTCCGGTCTGTTTGCGACTTCAACCCCCAACATCTCAAAGGGTTACTTTGAAGAACCAGGAGATTGACATTGTTTGGACACCATTTCATGTTTTGCTTGTTTTTATTCCAGTGCTGTCTTGCACGGTGCTGTCGTCGCTCCTCTGCGCTTTTCAATAGGGGCGGTTGTGCTGTTGGAGGCTCACGTCCAGATTTTGCTGGCACCCTGTGGCTGACGGCCGACGGGTCAGCGATTTCGAGGGACGCATGCGCGACGGTTGCGGGGCGACATATCATCCTCTCCTCTCTTGGTCCCGGATTGTTGTGTTTTGCATGAGCTTAGACAGTGCTTCATACATGCGTGTGTATTCAAATAGGGAGTCCTCCCAGTTGGTCACGACTGAAGAACTCCAGATCAAGATCTTCAAGCACGATTTGAAGGATGACAGGATGACGAGAGGACGCTGAGGAAACCAGACCGTTGCACGAGGAACTGCGAGCCCCCCGTTCAGAATTTACATGGAAAGCTTGGTCATCGCTTTACAAGAGAGGACCTCCCAGTGGCCATGTGGAGCCAATCTTGGATGCCTGGAAGAGAAATGAACCAAAGTAAAGACTGACAAAGTTCCTTCCTCAGAGAACCCTTTGGCGGGAGTTCATATCGACTTCATACAGCCGAAGCACCGGAAGGGGCCCGAGGAACCGACCACGTATACGACCAACCACACGACGGTTCCAACAAGCAGCACATGGGAATGGCAAAAGCACAGGGACTACAGGGTACAAAATATATCATCTTTTGCAATATAGTATACTAGGCACCCGAGATGATGCTGCATCTCGTTTTTCGAACGTTGGCTTTTCATCGTCTTCACACGTTATTGGCCTTGGCTGATCCAGATTGGTTTCACCGGCCAACTCGCTTTCAACGTTATGGGCCATGAACCTTCGGCCACTGGGTGGCTTAGCCTTTTTTTCCTTTTCGAACCTTATGCTGTACCAATCAGTGAGGGTTCAACCCTTTAAGCCATTAGACATTATGCCAATTCCGCATCTTGTGGAGCTGTCTTTCAGGCTCAGATTGTCCAGAATACCCATGCGGAAAAAGATGCTGGCCGCCTGCTTCTGCGTAGCCGGTGGGCCGCGGGCGGTTGGTGACAGCGTTCGTATGCGTGCGGTCGGTGGCACCTCCATTTCTTGGAACTGTTCCTCCGCCGGTTTGCGGCCTTTCGAGTCGACCGGTTGAGGCTCTGAGTGCCGGAGACCCGCACATCTCGCGTTGTCGCTGCTGCTGCTCCACGAGGAGCGAAAGAAGAGACGTGACAAAGGACCCGTCACCATGGGGCACCTGAGAAAAGAGGGGATCGTCGGAGAGTCTATTCTAAGTCTAGACGGGCCAGAAAAAAAGGCCCCTTCAACATCCTTCAACATCCTTCAACCGCAACCTCTGGCTTGACCGGCTATGAGGGATTCCTTAATTGATGTTTTTATTTTTTTCGTCGGTTCCACCCGGTGGGGTTTTTCAGGAGTTGAGGGGATCCTGGGGGGTGTGGACTTTGGGGGAGGGAGCATTTGTGGGGGTTGGTGTGAAGTAGAACTTGCCAGTGAAGATTGTTTGTTGCTTTCCTACCCGATCTTGGGTCATGTTTGGATGGATTCATGAGTTGTCGCAGAATGGCCAAGGATCTTCATCCTTCCAAAAGACAAGCTCAGTAGATGGTGCATGCCCCTTCATGACCCGTGCACAGGTGGTCACAGGGCGGAACTCACCTTGCCACAACTCAGCCGCTTGGCAGTGCTCTCAGAGCTCCCTTCGCCCTTTGCGTGTGGGGTGGGTGAAGGGGGGGTCGTCGAATGGGGTCATCGCTGGTCGTTGACGCTCAGGGTGGGCGACCCTTCTTCCGGTGCCCCGGGGCATCGTAGACCCGTCCACCATTTTTCAGCCTAGTTGGCCCACAGGTGGGGGACAGGTGGGAGAAAACCGCGGTTTGTTGTAGTCTGATCACGCAAGATCGAGCTGTCCTACATAATGAAGTCATATGAAGTCATGAGTATCTAATGCCTGGTGCTCCAAGCGCCTAGGTGCTCCGAGCGCCTACCAACATCTCCTCGTTTCTTTGGGATCGATCAAAAGAGGTAAAATCATCCAAAACCTGTGAGCTGAGCTGGTCACCTTTGATAAAAACCAAAGGTGCGACCATGGACCATTGCAAGGTCCCATGGCGTCCCTTGAGATTTTTGGATGATCGTTTCAGGTGGTTTTACAGGACGGCGTTTGTATTTCTAAGTTGTTTGCATGATGGTGTTTCGTCCTACGCAGTGTTTTTCAAGATTTGGGCGTCTCGAGCTCATTTCCGGTTTCTGCATAATGCATTTAAAGGATTCGTTTTACATACTTGATCGTTTTTGATTGTTCTAGCCAAACACCGAAAAGCAGAACAACACCATGTAGTAGCGTGTCAAAACCGATTGGCACTCCAAACACAAGAGTTTTGAGGTTCAACCATGTTCAATCTGAGTCTAGGAGATGATTTTCCTCATTGAGCTATTCCTTGAGCTTAAGACATTAAGTGTTCAATCATCTTGAGTCTGGGACTCTCTACATCTCATGTTGCCTCCTCGTCCTCCACGGCACTCCTCCAACGGGAGCCCTCTGACGTGGTGCGACAGTCACGGTGCAGCGGAGGATATTTTCGAAAGTCAGTTCCTGCTGGATCTCGCGGTGCTCCTGATGGCCTGGGTCGCCGAGAAGAGCAGCGAAGCGAAGCGACGTCAGAGGAAGAACCCCAACGACGCGAACGACGTCAGACGAACGACGGACGGACGGTCGAGACCGCGCCGCGCGAATCGGACCTCGGCAAAATGCCCGGTGGGGCCCGCAGGATCTCGCCGGTTCGCCCGAGCGAAGGGGCCACGGCTGCGTGTATTGAATAGATTGGTGAAGGACCAGGCTTGATGTCTCAAGTGCTACTATCATCACAGGATCACTGTCCCTGGCGAAGCCCACCATCTCTGGAACCGCACCCGAAAACATGGGCTTGGGTAGACACATACGGTTTTGGATATATCCCTTTAAAGAGGCCGGAACCCACCGGAAGTAGCCCCCATGCTCTGTGAACTAGACTCATCAGATCCCTCAACTCCAACACATCGCTAGTTGCATCACCCAGACGCTCCATGTACGGCACAGGCATATTTACATACATGACCCCCCTGAAGCTCTCCATTTGATGTATGTCAATATGCCATACATGGACCTGGAGTGTATCATCATGTTCATGTTTCATCACTCCTTCATCATTTATCTACTCTCTGCACCCAGAAAATCCGTCGAAGGCCAGCACCTGTGGCACGCCCCGTGGCGCCCGTGGCACTTCGTTGGCCTGGCTCTTGTGGCTGCTGGCGATCGTGGTGCGCTTCCGTGCCATCTCCCTGGAGGAGCACGACTGGGCCACTGGGCCACTGGGTTCGGGCGCGGCGCGTTTCGGGCGCTTTGGGCGCGGGTTTGCACATGGAGGGGTCCACGTGGTGGAATGTTCTTGAAGGATTGGGGGAGAGGATATATGGGAGATAGATGGATCATAGAATGTGCCAGGAAGCATAACTGAAACCAGGTCGTTCTGGGTGGGCAGCGGCAGTCAAAACATGTCAAAGTCTCTTCGAGACCAAGATATTATCGACGTGCTTTGACTGAAACGACCATCATTGGTTTCTTGGATTTTCTTGGTGTCTTTTTTGTTGGTTTGTCGTTATTTTTCCAACACTGGCACTGTGCCATCAGCCAACATTTCCATCATTTTGCTCCATTATGTAGAATACAGAGACTAATGACGCTAACTCAGAGAGGAAACCTAGTCTTCCAAGAGGCAGTGATTCTAGAAGATTCCGGAGAAGACACATTGGATACATCCCTACCACGTACTGGTGTAAAAGACCACAGCATCTCTGGCTATTCTAGGCCTTCGCCTATTCTCATCGCTTTCGCATGCTCCTGCCCTCGGCTCTGGCCACCCTGGGCTGCGGCCTGCGCGGCGGCCTCACCGCGCCGACGCCGCGAGGCGCGCGTGGGGAGCGCGAGAGCGCGAGTCGGAACGCGATGCGGTGCGGTGCTTGACCTGCCGGCAACGTGGAGGGTTTTGGGAAGGACAAGTCAGTCGTTTTTTTTCTGGGCTGGCTTGTATAACTATTCCAAACTGAACCTTCAGATTCCAGATCAAGTCTAAATTCAATGACATTTAATGATCATTCCAGATCCCTCAGTATCCCTCAGTCCTCTTGTGAGCTGGCTTTCTATTTCCAGATCATGCCCCCCCCCACCCGCCTCCAACTACTACGTCCGCCTCCTCCGAAACAGCCGTAAAAGCCTCCGCCGTCCGCCTCGAATCCTTCCCACCTTCCGCAGAAACCTGCAGGTTTTGCCTCGGACTTCTTCGGTTTCTGCCTGGTCGCTGGCTCCTGCACTCAGGAGCCGACGGGTGGGTGGTGGAACGGACGGTCCCTCTGTTTCGGTGGAACGGAAGGAAGGGCCATGCAGACGTGGACGAAGGCAGACGTGGACTGGGGCCCACGGTGTGGAAAATGAATGAAATTGGATTCATCTGATGTGCGATCCAAGATGAAGAAAGACATGAAAAGCCAGAAGCATTTTCAGCATGTCTTTCTTCGTTCCCAACAGCATGTCGATGATCCTGATGTGCAAAGCTCCTGAGGCGACCTTTCGGGTGTTGCATGCCCTCTCAGGCGACCGATGTTGGGTGCAACATCGGCCTTATACCAATGCTTGGTGGTGATTTCTTCGCGTCTCCGATCTGGGGAAGAAAGGCGTTCTTTCTCGGATGGATGAGTGAGAGGTATTCATAGGATATCAGATGACTAGGCGTCTGACCGGCGATATTGAACCGCCCGAAGAATCCTGACAGGACCTTTTCCTCTTCGGCTGGCACCAGCAACTTCTCCTGAAGCCCTTGCAGAGAGCAGTGGCATTCCAGGCGCCGTTTCTTTTTTTCGGCGGACCCTGTCGATATCTGCTGCGAGTGAGTTGGATTTGCTAGTCATAACTGAACACGCAACATTTTTATGCTTGAAACCGTCGTCGCATTCAGCAGATACTGTAAACATTGAGAGTTTTTTAGAGTCAAGTCAGGTGAGAATGTATTTTGCATCAGCCAGCTTTCCGGCCGAATCGTTCCGTTTCTTTTGAGCCTGAGAGAAGATTTTGAACTGTGACCTGCCCACTGTTTCCTCATTGAGGTTTCGTAGCAGGAAGTGGGTATCACACTCATTTTCACATGGTAATCATCGTCGTCGTCGTCCTCCTCCTCCTCCTCCTCATCATCATCATCATCATTATCATCATCATGCAGCAACATCAACATCGCCATTCCCACCACCCTCAAGTTTTGCCAGCATCACCATCATCCATCACCCAGCAGATCATGTGACTTCCAGACTCAAGAATTGGTCATCCAAACTCGTCCTCACCTGAACGCTCCAAGTACCGTGCACAATTTTCTACGCTTGAAATTGGAGATCCAGGTAAACCATGGTAAAGCCAATGGGTCGCTTCCCACATCTCCCGCTCATGCAGGTGGCGGAACTGTGCTTTGCCACTCAGCCGCCTTTTTCCGGCGAGGCTTTTGTGGCTTCACGTGGCTTTAAAATAAGACCCGAACACAGTGACTCGGTTCTTCTTAACAGTCTTAGCAGAAAGGCAATGGAATAATTAGCGGTAACTGGCTGTACAGTAGCTATTATTGTAAACGTGGCTTCGCTTCGCCATACCCGCAACTCTTGCCTTCAATCTTGGGGGGTATGGATCAAACATGATCGAACATCGTAAATCCAACTGGCCTGGCTATTCTGATCTCTTCTCACCCGCGTTTTGGGGCCATCAGGGGCCAAGAATTTTGGGGACCTCACGGAACCCTGACGATCTGAGACCACGTCGTCTCCCAGTGGCATTTGCCTCTGCCTGAGGTCCTTGGTCTCCTCCTTCTACTCCGTCCTTCACCGTCCTCGTCCTCGTCCAGTTTGCGCTGGATGCGTTTTGGCATGCGCGCATCCAATGCGGGTTCCGAAGCAGCGGGCTTTGATGGGATTCTGAAATCCTGGATGATTCAAGAAGTGGTCGACTGGTACCGGACATTGGTTTCATAAAAGCTAGTACAGATAAGTCAAAGACATTTTGTGAAGTCATATATATATAATTACCAATAAACACATATGCGAACTCTTTAGTAGATTGCAACTCGCTTTGGAGGACCTATGACATAGCTAGACCGCTCTGCTCGTTTGGCGTTCTGGTGTGAACCTTGCACTGCGGTACCTGCGGTATCCCGAAATACGGGCCTGAGTTCCATTCCCAAAGATCATATCTCAGCACCTTCCAAAGGGTCAGCTAATTTAATCTGGCTGGAAGCTCCTACTTCTGGATCTCCTTTGCACACCCTGACAGTCGCGCGGGTTCACACAGCCAGTTTTGTGGGCCATTGGAGACTGGGATGATCTCCATCCTGATCTCGTCCGCCCGTCCACCAAGGTCGAAGCTCTCCTTGGGAGTCAACGTCTCCAACCTCTTCGTCTTCCATGCCTTGGGTGGCTACATCTTAGAGGATCCGTCGGAGCCCCCGGCGGGGTCAGCTGGGGGAGGTGGGCGTCTCGGTGGGCGGGCGCGCCAGCGCGCCAGCGGGTCGCCGGCTCCTTCAGATCCTTCAGGAGAGGTGCAGTGACCTTTGGTTTCCATTCATGTGGTTTCTTATTCACGTTGATGGTGTTTTAGTGTTCGCTGTTTCATGGACCTGTTGACAAGTGGATGGAAGACTGGTGGATCAACAAAGGCACCACGGTCGACCCCTCTGACATCCCTCTGACCCGACGACAGCGTCGCCGACAGCGGTCGGGGACGTGACGCTGTCGCAGCGGCAGCGGTCACCCGACAGCGGTCGGTCGTGCTGTGGATGGTGAGGAAAGGCACGACATCTGAAGGTCCGAATTATCTCCAATCTCCGACTTTTCGCCTCCAGCCAGCCGGCCGTGCCTCCAGCCTGCCAGCCGGCTCAGGTTGCCAATGTCCCTGACCTCTGTGGTTCTATGCTTTCTCTTGGTCTATGGGGTCTCCGCTGTGCCTGGCATCCCGGGATCAGGTCGGCTTGACTTGATCGACCCCGGCCATGAGGTAGTTCCAAAGGGTGCGGTTGTGCCATTGAAATATAGATGTGGAGGCCGGGCTACGGGCCCCGGGCCACTCCCCCCCCAGAGGTAGTGAAAAAGTCCGCGCATTTAGTTGTAGCAACCGTTGATTTACTAGTCGTCAATCAATCCTACTCGTCCCTCGTCTATGATGGGGATACGCCAAAACCTGGAGCTCCAAAGCTTCACCGAGCCCAGCTATGTCAACCAAGGTATCCTTATGCCATGACCCAGTCATATTTGCCCTGAACTGTTCTTCATTTTGCCAATTCAATTGGATCATTTTGGAGATCAGCATCCCCGGTTGGATGGGGACGGAACATCCTCCAAAGTAAACGTTGAATCGTCAGAAGTCGAGTTCAGAAGAGTCGCCCCTTTAGATGCTCTCAACATCACCACTTTCCCAGACCCCTCATAGCTGGTCCCCCTCACGCCGCCCCGCAACCGCCCCGAGGCTGGCGCTGATGATGCTTGCTGTGCAGAGACCCGTCATGCTTCTGCTGTCCCCCCGGGTTTCCGTCCCGTGCAACGGCACAGGACGTCGTTCGTGGAGCAAGGAAAAAGCGATTTCGCACCTTGTGTGGAGCAGGTAGGGGATTTGAATGCGTTTCACATGGGGTCTCTCATCGTTCCCTCGTGTTTCCATTTTCAACTGGAGAGGAAGTCTGATGAATTGGGATTTGAACACATTCCTGAGATGGAATGTGAATGACTTGCAAAATGACTCCATTCGGTCGCTCCAGCTCTTACCGAAACCTGACCGCCTCGGACTTCGCTCCGCCGAGGGGGCCGAACTCGGCCGTTCTGGAGCGAGGATGCCGAGTCCCGAGCCGAGTGAAGGAGCGAAGGTTTTTGGGGTTCAAACGGTGCAGGAAAGGAGACGCCCCCCCACTTTCTCATTCTAGGAATCCTTAGGACCCAGCTCTGGACTCGAAGCCTGATCCACTGGCAGGTTCGGGGCCCGGTTTCTGAGATTGAGATGTAGCAAGGTATATCGAGGGTTCTGGTGATGTCAAACATCACGGGGTTAGGGGTAGAACCTCTTGTTTTTAGACCGGGGACAGCGAAGAATGGACACGAATATGTCTGACATGACTTCTCCAGGTGAGGAAGACATAGAAGGACCCGCTTACCTTGGACATAATGCATCCTCGTGGGGATGCATTTTTGCATGCCACATTGACCCCCCCCCCCAGTGGTCTCTCCTGGTCGTGCCTGACGTGATTCGCAGACTGAACGCCGCAGACATCTCAGACTTCTCAAGCTCAAGCACGTCATCACGGGAATTTCAGGACATTTCTTCACGTCATCAGGTTTTCGTTTGGCCTCCGCCGTCGAGTAGCAAACGCGTGCAAACGTACAGGTACTTAGGAGCGGCCCGACCCTTCTGACCCACCTGGTTTTCAGAAAGGTAGATTTCACGGATGGACCGGGAGCTTGAGGTGTTTCCCATCATCCAATCCCAGTGTCACTCTGGGACGTGGTGTTCTCCCCGAAGACCGGTCCGGACGGGGTGGACCGTGGACCGAGGACCGGGTCCTTGCGCTCGGACTGGGTCATATGGGTCATCAACCACCTGAACTTGGAAGATATTTGGGATGGACCCGCCCCCCCCCGATGGTCCCAAACGAAAACACACACATGAAGACATCCCTTGGATCCTTGCTCTTCTACAGAGGAGCCATCTGGGCGTGTGGTGGAGTTGTTTGGGGGGCACATCACGTGTGAAAGACATATATAGACTATAGACCCTTCCAAGTGCGTGTGAAAGACTTCTTGGACAATTAATTAAGTTGTACAATTTGGCAATGGCCATGTTCCGATGGCTGCTGCTCACTCTGCTGCTGGAAGTGGGTGCCGATGGGCCGCCGGCGAGCACCACGGGCGGCTCGGAGCCAACGAGATATTGTCATGGTGAGTTGGAGATGTCTCCGCAACTATCAACTATCAGTCAAATGCATTCATTTGCCAGCTGCGATTCATCAGTCTATATATATAGAGATAACAGCTACTGTCCACTGTCAACTGATTATCAAGTAGAGCAGTTACTGTACTACCAACTCATTGCTTTTGTCAGGCTACCGCGTGTTTCGTCCTGCAAATTGTTATAGGAGGGCTGCCATAGTTCCCTAAGGGCGTCTTCAACGTTGATATAATTGAAACCTGAACGTTTTTCTTTTTGGGGCAAAGTTTCGGAAGGCATTTGTAGCTGCAAGTCTGCAGCAACCTTCGGTGGGTTGAGAAGTTGCATGAAGTTGACGTCGTTTTGCAGTTTGGGCAATTTGGACCAGGAACCGGAGCTCCAAACATCTTGCTCTGGTTATGGCTGGTTGATGGACGGTGCATTTGGAGCAGTCCCTGCATTCCACCTGTTGATGCTGTTGGACTCTGCCAACACTGATCGGGCCCTGGGAATTTGATCTTTGAATGTCTTCGATATGGGTGCCAAGATGGGATCCATCTATAGTCTATCGATGAGTGCAGAATACTTACTCACCCAACAAACTGCCGCCGCAAGGGACCTCCAGCATAGCCAGCACCACGCTCCTTCCGTGCCTCGGAGTAGCATGGAGTGGTATTGAGTTGGTAGCAAAGTTCCTCTAGGTCAGGGAAGGGATTGTCAAACAGGAGGGTTTTTCTATTCCCCAGAGATTTTACAGGGCGTTTTTCCATCCGGAACTGGATCGACAGCTGGAGTCAAGATCGGTTTCCGCTGAATACTTCAAAGGTCGGAGGTCACATGTTCGGCTACAGAGGCTGCAGAGCCAAAATCAAGTCAATAAGCACAAGTACAAGGATCAAATCCAATCCTGCACCAATCCTCAGATGTCCACTGAGTCACTAGCAAACTTTACAGAATAGGACGTAAACAAATGAAAAAACACACACACAAACAAGATTACATAAAGAAACACACACACACACAAAAACAATTAAAGCAAACAACAACAAGCAGAAGGAAAAGCCATGAAACTCCCGGTTGGACCGTGGGTGAACCCTCCTTGCCGAGCGAACGTGGAGACGTTCACGTGGAGTGCTTAGCGTATACTGCTTCGTGCCTGAACAGCTGTCCTCCGTTGGCCCCCTGGATGTGTGACCCCACGATCCATAGCTCGACTGGACGACACGCTCGAGTTCCGACCGTCATAGAACTCGAGTGTGTCATAGGGATCCCCACGATGTTGACCGTGGTATGAGGACCACGTCGGTGTTCGTGGATTTTGCTGCTGTTCGTCGGTGATGCCCCCAAAAAGGTCCAGTCTGACCCAGCGAAACCATGCGAAAGCTGGTCCTGAACACCTCATTGAGTAGTGTTTTTTTTTTTACAATAAATATGATCAACTCCAGTAAAATGAGGTCAAGCTGACCTTCCTTGACCTGCAGGGACTGTAGGGCAGTCTATGTCATACTACAGCCCTCTGAGGACCACTACAACCACCACTGCAAGCACCACGACCACGAGCGGCACGACCACCACGACCACGACGGTGACGCTGCCAGCGCACTGCCAGCGGTTTTCAACCTTCACCTGCAGCACTTCGCCCGTGCCGTGGCGGTCAAGGACGGTGGAGATCGAACCGGACGGGTCGGCGGTCAGGGTCATGCTTTTGGTCCAACGACGGGCTGCTACCAAGTAATCTTTTCTTACTTACCTTGTCTGCTGCTTCATGTGTCTGCTTCATTATGTGTCTTAATGATACACGTTTATACTACATGGCAGTGATGGTGCCTGAGACATCGGTCGCCCCACCGGGGAGCCTCGCCGAAAGCGCCGAGGTGACGCCCGCGAGCACGGAGGTGATGCTGGTGGAGGGCAGCGCCGCGATGCCCGACTGGCGGCTTCAGCTGCATGCAGACACGCACACGCCCCAGTCCAAAGACCCCACATCGGTAGCGCCTTCTTCTGTTTTTTTTGGGGTGGTGCTGATGGAAGGAATTATGAAAGGAAGGAAGGATCCCAGATGTTGGGGACACCCTGATTCTTTGGGCAAAAAGAACTCAAGGCACCAAAGGTTGGATCGAAAGAGCCGATCGGTTGGATCTTCAGATCCTCCGCCCGCGAGCGGCGCCTCCGCCAGGTATTGCAACGGCCGCTGGGGTCGACTGGAGGTGAAGAAGGCGGAGCATGGGGTGGGCAGAGGGCCTTCGGGCAGGTTCCCCGGCTTGGGGCCAAGGTCGGATGTTCCACGAGGGAAAACCGAGTCCGGATCTGGAGGCATCAAGATCATCAAGATTTATATATATATATACCAGGAGTCACAAAGGGGTGGTGTTTGGTCCCCAAGTGAGTGGATAATGGGCACACCTAACCTCCATTAAGCACCCCTTTGTGACTGCTGGTATATAGTTATGATTTGTTGGCTTCAGTTGCGACGATCAAACACCAAAAGTATGCTAAGCTTCCCAAGTGGTTGGAAGGGAAAACCCCAAAACGTTTACATGATAGTGCTGCCCGATAAAATACGCCCAACTCAGATTCTACTCGGTGAAAGAACACCCTCAGCTGGAAGTAGAAACCTGTGGGCGAACCCTGCTGGAAATTCATCTTCCAAACCCTATAGAAAGGTGCAATGCAAAGAATGTTTGTGTTCCATTTGGTCAAGACTACGGTTGACAACCATCCATTGTTTTGATTATATCAGGTATCATACTAGGGGTGTTGAGGCGCGGTCGGATGGTCCGCAATGTTTTTTTTCAAGTGAACACCACTGGATTATATATTTGTCAAGCTCTCATCCAGTATACATGGGAATCAATGGGTGCAGTACAACAGTATGCAATAGATCAGAAAACTACTCCAAAGGGGAGCTTGGATTCGCTCCTTGTCCTTCACATCCACCTCACTAGCAACATATCGGACGTTTGCACCTTTTTCGCCACATCCTTCGGGAGACCATCCATATGAAAGGACATGTCGAGGGACATGCCACCCTCCACTCTACACATCAGAAGAAAGCTTAACTCAGCTTCCTCTGACAGGTCTCTGCAGGGGCAATCCCACCTCTCTGGCGCATCGACAGGATGGTGTTTGGGGTCAAGTCTGCCGTGAATCCTTCGACCATTTGGATGCGCGTGTGAGTTGCCGGCAGATGGGCTTCCAAGATGGTTTTGCTCTCCGTGAGCCTTGGTTTTCCAAGATGGGTCTAGTTGGCCCAAGTACCAAGACACCCGCACCTACGTACTGTAAGTGGTGGTTCTCACCCTACTGCAAGGTGTGGCAAAGTGTGGTTGACTAAATCTTGTCACCAAGTAGCTCTTGGGAGTTCCTGGTAGGGAAGAAGACTCATCCGTTTCGTCACCAATCACACCAAATCACAGGCATCCACGTCCGGTGGCAAGCCCAGGTTATCGTTGGTGTATCCTATACGTACATGGTGTACAGCCATGGTATACTCTGCAGAGGTTATTTCCTTCTTGTAGCCCATCAGGTGGTATTCTGTTGGAACTTGGGATGGTTCCTTTGCTGGTCAACAACACACACACACCAAAGTTTCTTGAAGGACACAATAGATGGGAAGATAACCTTGTAATTACCGTACCTATGTCTTTTACTGTTTTTTCATGTATAGTATCTTTAGACGACATTTGAGGTTCTCGAGTTTCCTCCCATTACATTTGCGTATTGAAATGACGAGAGACTCGATTCTTTTCACCCACTGTAGTTACTTGTTGGGCCCTCCTCAGTTATCCTCAGTTGTTGGAGAGAAAACCCGCAAAAAAACGGTGGGTTCCAAGCAGAACTTGGTCTCCCGAAACATGTCCTGTATAATATGTGAAACATGTTTCAGGACCAGATAATATATAGAACAGGACATTATAATACAAAACCAGAGTCTTGTGCTTTTCAGGGGACCTTAGACTCTGGTTTTGACCCACCAGACCTCATTTCTGAGTGGATCCATCCTAGCTCGCCCGCGGGGGTCCATCCTCGCGCTGTGGGTTCACGTGGCCCAGCTTCCAAGGAATACCACTACACTGGCCGGCTCAGCATGTCAGCGTCCCCGGGCTCCATATGGGGTACTCGAAACAGTCGGCCACCCACCTGAGAGTACTCGAAACAGTCGGCTTTCTGACCAAAAACTCTGTTAGACATGTGTTAGACATGTCATCTTGGACCACGAATTGGACGTGGAGTGTTCCGATCATCGGTCGTCTTACACACCGCGGCGGGCGATCCGATCATCGGGGGCGGTGGAAGGCGATCATCTAACCTCCGGTTCGTCTCGAAACCGGAGGTTCGTGGGTGGTGAAAGGCGAAAGGCTTGATATCATTTACCCGTCTGTTTTCATTTGTTGGATTACCTTGTTTCCATTTGTTTTCAATTTGGGGCTTGCCTGAGCTCTTGGTCGCTGTGTGGAGTTGCCTTTAAGTATCTTTATAAGTGCTTCCATTAAATTGAATTGTTTGTTTTTGTGCCTCCAGCATAGCGACTAGCTGTCGGGCCCGAAACGTCTCGGACCGTGTTTGGACCGGCCCGTCCTTGGCGTCGGCCTGGCCAGGCCAGGTTACAGCCCTGGCCTGGCTGGACACCTTCCCAGCCATGCATGGGGAATATTGACAGTGCAAAACCATGGAATCGATTCATTGATCAGTGGTCAACCGCCCCGTCAACCGCCCGGATGCTATCCTTCTGCCTTGGATGACGTCAAAGAGTCATGTAGCATGCAGTTGCAGTCGAACGAAGCGACACAGACCAGGACCATCCTGGGCCTGTCCTGGCGAAGTAACGTAGCCAGCACACTACTATGGAATCTCTTGGAGACCCATTGGATGGTCCAGGTATATACATGCTTGTATATATATATATATACTGATGTATACTGTATATAAGTATGCAATATACATAATCTAACTATATATACATATGGCATGCACTACCTGAAATCATCATGGTTACATACATGTATGGCATGGACCCGATTCGGAAGACCATGGACCGAATACCACAACAGGTGGTTTTCACTCCATTCCATGCGGATGTCCGGGAGTGTATATACCAGTATATACTCACCCTTTCGTTTCACCAAAATCAAGAGGTGAAGATGTGTGACTTGGACTGGGACATAGAACCCCACCGACTTGTGTCCAGTCCGTTCGTCCGTTGGGGTGCGCAGAAAACCAGCGACGGTTGGGACGCGCACACTGCAGGAGCAGCAACCCCATGCTGATGGATGGCCCTGCTTGCGTGGGCACAGAGAGTCGAATCCAAGATTGTGCCTTGGGCATGTTGGGCTTCTTTGTCATGAAACAGGCAAGCCAACGACATGATGTCATACAACTGATGCATAGTGCTGGACTATGCATAGGCCGAGTTCAGCAGATCTTCTGTTTGACCCAAACAAACTCCATAAAACCACTGTCAAAGATACATGAAAAAAACATGCAAGGTCAAACTTCCCATCTGAAAGTCGTTCATGTACTTTCTATCTCTCTCTCTCTCTATATATATATATATCTATTTTTTGTTTGTCTTTCTCTGACCTATGACCCCTCATGACCCTCCCACCCTCCCTCCGCAAAACCCCGAGGCCCCTCCTTCGGCGCCGCGGTCAGCACCACCTGCACCGCCGTGGGGGACCTGCGTGCGGCCGCGGGAGTGCTCTGCCTGGCCGAGCAGTTGTCCGAGAGCGAGCTGCGGGCGCGTTGCCGCGTGGTGCTGGTGGAGGGGGCGCAGAGAGAGAGAGAGAGACCGGAGTGGTTGGGTGGTGGTGGTGAAGTTTGGATCCAAAAGAGGCATGCATGGTTGGAATTGGTGGTTGGTGTTGGTGTTTTTCTTAGTAGTTGGTGCTTTTCTATTGGCAAGGGAGAGGTCTGCGGTGGTAGGATTCAACCACGGACGATAGGTAGGTAGCTGTTTGAAAGGGTTTTTGTTTTCGTTTTTTTGGCGACGGAAGAGACGTGTTTGGGCGACGGAAGAGATCAGATGTTCGGTGTCGCAGCAGGGGGAATCTCCATGTCGCAGGTGTCGCGGCACACGACATGTAGCAATGATATAAGTAACATAATCGAACACGCAATTGATATAAAAATCAATAGTATTAGTATACGTAAAATCTATTAACTAACACTAGTGATATTAGTATACTATCTTAAATAATCAATTAACAGCAATAATACTATTACTGTATATAGATCATATACGGGTTGCCTCGGCCTGACCTCGGGGTCATCCGTCAGGTCAGTTTTTTGCGTCAGGTCAGGTCAGGACGCCACTGAGCACCGGAAAAGTGAATAAGCCATTCTTTGGGGATTCTAAGCCTGAACAGGTGGGAAGAGGTTATTCCATGTTATATAGGTATACCTCGATCTACGCAGGGAAACGGCTTTGGGAGTCGGGCAAGATTCAGAAGATGAGGTGCTACACCAGACACGGATCCTAGATCAGACCCTTAAGCCAGCGCACACGGACGCGGAGTCCGCTCCGTGGGCGCTTTTGGTGCAAAAAGCCTTCTGCATTCCGCCATGACCAAGAAAGTAGATGGCACAGGAGAGACTTCCCAAGTGGGAGAGACTTCCCATCTTCACCTCGTTTTCACTCCACGAAACCATTGTTTTCGTGGAGTGAAAACCGGTTTGGTATGTTCGAAACCACATCAATTCATATTAAACAATATGTTTTGTGTAAAAGATAGTGATGCTATCCACTTCCAGAATATCGTTGTGGTTCTGATTCAGGTCCTGGCCATGTTTGGCCAAAGCGGTCACTCGAGCCACATAGCTTCAGCCGGGCTGTCTTGACTGATGGAGCTGACTGCCAGCGTCCAAAACAAAAACTCGACTAACATGTTCCTTCAAACATAAGCAGCAAGGAGTTGTCCTTCAAGCCAAAAGCTCAGCATTGACATCCTTTGCTCGCATTCATTACCAAGGCCCCAAGCTTCGGTTTAAAGCCAACGACCAGAAGAACAAGGCGAGTGCGACGGGCGTTCTTTTTTTTGACTTGTTCGAATGCTTTGTTGACATCTAGAAGTCCTGAAAAAGATCCAAGAGCAACAGTAACACCAGTCTATTTTTTCCTTTCCTATCGTTGTCAGACCCCTGTAAGGGAGACCAACTGTGTGGCTGTGTGGCCTTTAAAGGGTTGTTAGAGGCAACTCTGTCTTGTCAACCCTGGGCGAACATCCTAAAATGAACAGAATACAGAATGAACACCTCGTTCATGGTATTGGGTGTTTGGTCTTGACGCCACACACGCCGTACCCATCCAGAAATCCTTGACATTCATCTCAATCATCATGACATCCTGCTAGCCTATATGAAGCTTCATAACCCCATTGCACACCATGCGAGCGGACAAAGCGGGTCAAGGCAAATCGAACCTGAAGCAGTCTGAACTTCATTAAAGGTGTGTCAAACTATATTCAAGTGAGAACATGACCCCAATCGGCATTGGATGATCTTGCATGTAATTTGCTAGCTACCAGTTTGTTGGTGATATGAAGGACGTCTCCACTCTTGTGATGTTTGTCCCGAACCCTTGAAGGACACAGGGGTACCGGGTACCGAAATAGTCATTCAGACAGACCATACCGTTTGATCTTCCTCCCAGCCCTGGCACGCCACAAACTGCGCCACATCCAACCGCTTTCCCCTGCGGCTTTCTCCGCGGTTACCGCGTCCCGGCCGCGGTACGAACTGCGGTGTGCATCCCGCTCCACCGCGTGCGGTCCGCTCAGCCTACGCATCCCATGAGCGTCGTGACCATCTTTCCGGGCAACAGCTACACCAGCGGCTTTGGAGGGACGGGCGTCTCGACCAGCGACGGAGGACTTGGAAACTACGCCGGGACGTATCGCGCCTTGGCGGTCGTCTTGCGACATCCGGGGGGGCCAAGGAGTCCACAATCGTTTGTTGGTTCCAGGGAGTGTATCAGTTTGGGCAGAATGAAAACAGCCTAATTAGTTCCAGATTCCATTGATGGCCGAGTTGTGCGAAGCTGTGCAATCCGGATGTGTGGGGGAGTACATCACCAAAATATACTCAGGGTGTGTCCCATGTGTTGACGACGATGCAACGCAACATCCCTAGCACCACTCCACACTGTTTCATGTTTTCTTGATCACCTGCGCAGATTGACCGTGACGTGGGCTTTTTTGGAAGCATATGAGATTGATGAGCATCCCAAAGAGGCCAGAGATTGGAGCCCAGAGAGTGGTGGCTCGATCTTCATCCAATGCCCTGCCACTCTAATCAGACTATCCTGATGAATGAGTCCACTGTCGCGGGCTCCACAGCAGTAGTTTGGGATGCGAATTCACATTCCGTTTGGAGCCATCGCATGCGCAAGCTTGATTTTAGTCACGAGCACCATGCATGAAATTCCGCTGCCCCCCAGCCCATGAGAAGCCGCCCAAGACATGCTGCACCTGGGCAGTGTTGCGACATGTTTGGATGGAACTTTTTGGATGAAGGGTGGCAGTGTTCGCTGCTATTTCTTCCCCCCAAGAAATCGGCATCGGCGCTTTGTTTCTCGTTTGTTCCGTCGAACGATGGCTGATGCAGCCGGGAACCGTCGACCACAGTGGTGTGGGCCTGGTTTGGAGACAAATGCCCAGTAGTGAATTGTGATCATCCAAAGCACCGCCAGTTAATTTGCTAATGGCTTTCCAGGAGCCAATTTTCCAAGCACTGCAAGTTAACAAAAGGAAGAGAACGCCGTTTGTCAAGTTCCGCTTTTGGGGGCCGTGTTTTTCTCCTTAACAAGAATTCTACAGATGTTGCAAGGTTTGGGATTGAAGAGGCCATGTTGTCTCATCCCGGATCGAACGGACGCTGTTTCGGACCGCTGATCAGACCGGTCCAACTGCGGAACCGCCGGTCCATCCTGGGTCCGGTCGGGTCTGGCGGGGTTTCTTACGACTCCACTGAGGGACCGAGGATGAGATACGAAGTGCTTGGAGCAACATCGCCAGTGATGAAGTGCCCAACATGGGTGGACATCAGTGGCCCAGCCAAACGTCCACGGGAGAGGGGGGTGGGGTGGAGAGAGGTGCAGACACCGGGAGACCTCCGGTTTTGGTCTATTGAAACACCATGGGGAGTCCTCCGAACTTCCAACCAATGGATTTATATAGTCAGTTTTTGATTCTCCCAATAAACCTCCATAACCATAACCAATGGATTTCGCTTGTTTGTGATCTTCCCAGAGGTCTTTGAGGATCTTTGAGGGGGTCCCCTAATTGAACGGAAGAACACCCACATGCTGCAGGGTTCAGTGATGGGACATCGACGTGGGTGTTTTGAGTCTCGACCGACTTTCGGTGTGATTTCGACGAATTGCTAGCCGTGGATAGCAGTGGCAGTTTGGGTGATGAGCTAATGTGAAATACAGCGATTCCGACATGGATGTTCAAGTTTTGTTAGTTCTGTCACACTGCAGGGTACGCAATGCTCATTGTTTGAGACACCATTTTTGTGGCCATTGGTTCATTGTTTCTGGGGTCAGAATGTATTTAGCCCGGAGGTGAGAACTACATGGCCAAGAGACCAAGAGAACTTGCTGTAACAAAATCCAAATTGTCCAGAAAGCCCCGTGGGGCCGGAAGTGAGTTTGTTTGATTCTACAAGTAGAGTCATGATCGTCCAGCATGGTTTTCGGGCTGCGAGCATGACATCATGAATCATTCATCCGCACTCAACCTCCACATTCTCGCTATTTGTGCCCTAAGCCGCTAGCGTTACTCAAATCCAATCAAAAATCGATCAACAACCTATAGAAACCCTGGGTTCCTGATGGTTCCTGGCTTCAACATTTCCATCCAAAGCCCACGATTCCAGCGTCGCCTCGAGAAGCTTCGCCTCGCTTTGCGCCGCTTTGAGGTGGCGCTATCCCTTTGCCACCAAGAGCCTTTTCTGCTGTCCAGGGCGAGAAGCGGTCGAGTGTGGCGTCGAGTGTGGCCTCGACGTCCGTTGTTTTTTTTTTTTCTCGAGGGGAGCAGGGAATGAGCAGGTTGTAGCTTTCGCGCCTGAGACGGGACGCTTTTCAGATATTTGTTAAAGTAAGAAATGAGACAACAGGGTGTCACCCAAAAGCCACAGACAACCAGCTTTCCGGACTGAGATCGAAGGCACTGAAGCCTCACACGCTGGGCCAGTGACCAATCCGCGACCGGACCCGAAGAGGGTTAGCACCCAGTCGAGCGAGCAAGACCCGGGGGACTGGCATGTAGACGCTTAGACTTCATAACCCCCCATATGAAGAGGATTTGCACTTCAATTGTCTTTTTTTTATTCATCAAGACTACATAATTATGTGTTTTGTGTTTTTCCCTGGAAGAAGATGTTGTTCCTCATCTAATCTTGTTTGTGGGATGAGATCCCTACATGTTGCTGTCAAAGATCAACCAAAAGCTAAACACGTCCAAGGAGGTTACTATTTGCTTGCAACAATGAATCGAATTGTAACTATGAGGACACCGATCATCATGGGTGCAAAGGTTTCAGCTCCGCTGAGAACACTTCTACACTGTCACCCCTACAAAAAGTCGCTACTGGAAAGCCTGCGACTGTTTTGCGCCTGTTTTCGTGAGCGGGATTCGTGACTCTGTGACGTGCATTTCCTCCTTCTCCAACCTTTCTTACCGTCAGCTAGAAATCATTAATATTTTGGACACCATCCTGCATTGCATTGCATTGCATTGCAAAATCATACTTTCCGTATTCTTCCGTGAGACAAACTTAACGAGACCTGCAGCACCTGCAGGTCTCAAAGGGAATGCATCCATGACCGAGGAGCTTCTGCTATTCCAACTTCCTCACTGAGCTTGCGATGGGCTATTGCGAGTCCTACATTCCTACCTCTGCACCCACTTCCTCCACCAGCAGCAGCACCACCACCAGTGTGGGCAACCCCTCAGGCAGGGCCCCCGTACGAAATGTTCTGTCGTTCGGTGGACCAGTGTTCTCACAAACAAACTGAGGTTGTGACAACAACAACGATTGAACCACTCTCAGTTTCTGGATTTGAAAGAACAGTTTATATACAGTAAGAGATTTGTCGATTTCAGACTCTCGGTTGCTGGATTTCGGACTCTCGGTGGTTTTCCCTGTGAAGCGTTCTTTTTTGTATGGTCTTGATGCTGTGCTTGCTTTGAAACTCATGGCTTTCTTCATGTACACCCATTGCTAGACGCGGTCACCGCCCAGAAGAAGCGCAGCGTCATATACAGCGCCTGTGCACCTCTGCACAGTGAAACAGGATGAACCATGGGAATCTTTTCTTGATCAAGTATTGTTTGAACATGGTTGTTGATGCTTTCCAGCAGATGATTGGGAAGGTCTTTGAATATCTTGGAAATCCTTCAGATTAGCTGACGTTGAAAGGCACCATGCGCAGTTTCTAGACAGTATCTTTTTCCCAAGAGACACCCCTGAAGGAGGTTCGAAGAATGTTGTGGACTCGTGAAAGGGAACTCCTCAAGACTTTGCCCCTGATGGAACACACTCCTCCAAAATCCCGGCCGTGCCATCCACATACATAACGGAACATTTCATGGAGTGTCCCTGTTTGTTTCACTCACGAGAAGATGCATCAACTTCCGTCTCGAAGTCCTCTTAGATTCTGACAGGTTTTGTTCAGGCAAACACGCTGAATAAAATCGGTGTATGATTGTTGGAATGCTTTTCCTCGCTGTTGGAATGGATTACCTTAGGATACCTGAAGCCTTCGAAGGACAAGAGAAGCAGAGGCACGCAAAGAGATGGGGATCAGCCTTTGCTCCAAACATGTTCCAAACCATGTTCCAACTCCTCCATTGTTTTAACCGTTTAAACCAGGGCCACTGCACCACCCTGGGGGTTTCCTTTGTTCACTGCGATGTCTGACTCTTCCACTCGTAGACTCTTGGGTACTCTGCCTCCAAATCAACCGGACGACTCGGACGACCCTTGGAAAGGGAGTATCTCAAAAGGCTGGGGTGACCCGCTCCCAACTTGGGGTCAGGAGGAGGCTTCGACTTTGTTTCAGTCGACCACGCCACGTTCTTGGTGAGACATGGCCATCCCCAGACCATCCATGTATGGAAGAGTGGCACACATGTTCTGGCATTCTATCTGGCATTCTATCAATCCACGGATGCTCTGGTATCTTTCGCGCGCAGATGGCACCACACAGACGGCCAATTTGGACACTACGCCTGGCGCGGGCACCACCTCCAAGACGGATGGCCGGCGGCCGGGCATCTGGGATGTTCCAAGACTCGCGGTTTTCGTGCGTTGAAGGGCCTCATGTAGACTGTTGATCCGGTTTTATCCATAACTACCCCCCTACCAGAACGGGGGGTTATTCTTCAACAGTTGACAGTAGCAAGCACATGGTGGAAGATGCTTGAAACGTGGCGTGAGTTCCACTTTTCAAGCCCTGGGGCTTTGTTGCTGCACTCCCTCTCAGGGTCCATCTAGTGGTTCGGAGCAATGTCCTTGTTTCCCCAGAAGAGTGTGGTTACACTTCGGGCTCTTGCGGTAGTAGTTGAGCTCTGGGTTTGATCGAGGGTGCTCACCGGCCGGCAAGTTTGCTGACCCTTACAACCTATCAACCTGCAGCGCACGAAGTTCCTCGCGAGTGCATTTAACTGCGCAGGCTCGTGCAAAATGGTTGTCCCGAGCGGGTGCTTTCCTCGACCGCGCTCTGGTTGCGGCACCGTGCACGTTTTAATCGTGGCGGGGGCAAGCGAACCCTCGTGCTTTGGTGGTTTGAAGTCGACTTTTCAGATCGGAGCGATTGTGCTTCGATATGCAGATTTTTTTTGGCAGGCGCATCACTTTGGAATTCGGCGTGCTCTAATTTCGTGGCAGGTGCAGTGAATCGTGAACTTTGGACATGTGGTTTGTTTTCAAAAGTTTGGAGAACTATCAATCAAGCCAAACTGCGTTTTGGCATCTTGATATTGATGTTTTGCTGTGAAACGCACTGGCAGGGCCGAAGGAGCAGACAGAGCAGACGGAGCAGACGAGGTCGACAGCACGTTGTGACGGCTTCACACGCTGCCTCACGCTCTCATGTATCCTGTCCATGAGCAAAGACAGGTCAAAGCATTGTCTCATGTATGCAATGTCCATGTACGTTTTGTCACCTTGTCAGAGAATATCTTCAAGGACGCTATTAATAGGTGGAGGCCATCGCAAGTAGGTTGGAGGCCATCGCTGTTACTAGGAGCCAGAAATTACGAGCAATAATATATATATATATTATATATTATATATGGTCTTACATTTGCTTTATACTCAGGTATATATACGTGTGTGCTTTGACCTGAGGACCTGCCACATTTATGCTCTGAGCAGTATGAGCTTAGTGTGTGCTCTCTCATGAGCTTTGTGCTGTCTCAGCTTTCTGTTTTCCCTCATGTGTTTACTCTCTCTCATATTTGTGCTCTCATGTGTGTGCTCTTATATGTGTGCTCTCATGTGCATGCTGTGTGCTTTGAGTTCCTAATGTGGGTGCCTGGCATGCCTCCTAAGTTGTGCACACTGCTTTTGTTCTATTGAACCTTGTTTGGGGTCTCTTGCCGGGAGAGCTGAAGATGATCTTTTTGACAAAGCAGTGAGCGTTGGCACCGCAAGCCACGTCTTCGCCACGCACGGCACCGTGAAGGAGTCACCTTTTGGATGGTTTCAATCAACCAGGAGGCTAAAGCTGCTCACAGGCTTACAGCATCTTATAGCAAAAAAGAAAACTGCCTCTTAAATAATAGAACATACGTCACAGATGGACGCCAAACAACATGTTTGGTTGGACGATCTTGGTATGTTGCACGCAAATTTGAGAACGGAGTTTCTTCAGAATGTTCTATACAGTCAACTTGTATGTTCTGGATTGATTTGGAGAGTCTTTTTGTCATTCAGACTTGCAAGGCATGGACTAAAACATCAACTATCATCAACCCCAAGTGCGGAGGCTTTGAATGCTTGACACCAAGAATTGCCTTGTTTGAATTCGTTTGAGGTTGGATGTTCTTGCTGAGCCTCTTGGCCTTCGCATGCTGGACCGCGACGGACTCGAGAATCTGAATCTGAAAAGCAGTCATGTGAGATGCCACCATGAGCAAGCACGAATGCATCAGAAAACGCTAGGAAATCCTACTCGTCCTCAGACACGTCCTCAACGTGCTTGGGTGGTTGATGCTGCCCCCAGACGTGCCCAACAACGCAAACATATATTGGCTTGCACCAAAGAAGAAGCACAGCGCCGAAAGATGAGACAAAATTAAAACCCCCGCCACTCAGATCACCCTCAAAGGCCAGCAAGGCCAAGAAGTCACATATTTGTGAGAAACTCACCTGAAAGAGTCCAGAGTCCAAACAGATCCAGATCCTTGGTCAAGCGGGCTCCGGGCTTCGTCCGAGTGAGTTGGGCGGAGTGACTTCCAGGCTCGCTGGGGCGGAACTCATCGATTTGGAGATGTTTTGAGGAGACGCAACAAAATACCCGAAAAGTTGAGATCGGAGGACATCCAAGAGGCTCACCATCGTCAATCGCAGGGCTCTATTCTCGATTGAAGCACGGATTCCCGAAGATCTCGGAGGCAAAGTTGATTTTGGGGAACTCGTTGGGCTTTCCAGGCGGAGCTCTACCTTCCTTTTGGATCCTGGGAATTCCACTGGAATCTCATGAATGTATGGTCCTCAAACCTATGACTGGTCTCCTTTTGCACAGCTTGAGAAAGCTTCTTCGGTGGAACATGGATTTCTGCCACCACTACAACCCTTTGCTCCCTTCTTGTGAGGAAAGCCTTACATTGGCTTGAAAGAAGCGCAAGCCCCTGTAAGCAAACACCGTTCTTGCCTGCTCTTTGTTGTGGATCAGAGGCAGGCCATTGAACGGACATGAAAATTAGTGGTTTACTTGGCATGGCATTGTCCGTAGAGTCCATAGATTCTTAAACCCTCCCGAAGACTATCGACATAGAACATGATAGCATGATAGTGGTTTGAGATGAGTGTCGAGATGAGTGTCCACTCCTCCATGCTATCCTTCCACTTTCCGGCGCTTTTTTGGTGGGTTGAACATGGTTGAACCGGGATTTACTGTATCTGGTCACTGCCTGGGGGCTGCTCTCACCACTCTCGACTCACTGTCTCACGCATGCCACGCATGCGGGTCCAAGAAGGGCCCTCTTGCGGTGGTTTCCCGGGCGGGACCATTTCACCCGTTCGCGCGGGCCAAAAAGGTCGGAGACGGAGACACTCCGTGACCGGGTTTCGCCCGAGCCGCAAAGTGGCGTGTTCTATTTGTGTGTTTGTGTGTTTGGTTCTTGCTGGAATATCAATTCAGTCTGCAAAATGGTCACATCTTCACAGACCATCCGACCTCCAAATGGGTGTTTCAATCCTCGGAACAGGTTCTTTTTTCAGGTTTAGGTTTCCGCTCTAAAAACCTGACCTTTGGAACTCCTGGGTGTTCCGATGCACAGGGTATCACGCCGGTGCTTCTCCCGGACACCCTCGGCTCTTCGACACCTCCCAAAACCCCTACCGGGCCCTACCGGCTCTCCGCAGGAGGCTGCGCTGTTCTCTGCCCGGCAGAGCTCGAGCGAACGCGCCGCGTGAGGACAAACAACATGCGAGCCGGTGGGCGAAAGCCGGTGGGCGGGTGACCTAGTTAGGTGAAATGAGGTTGAAATGAGGTTCTGAAGAGGAGCTTTTTGGTGATGGATGAGTAGGGTTTTTTTCAGGATGGAGGCCATGATGGGATGTTGGAGGCAATGATCGGCGACGAACGATTCTTGGAGGGATATTGGACGTTTTGGTTGAGAAGAGACAAGAAGGATTTTGGGAGACGACATGATTTGGCACTTGTAAACTAGGCAGATTTAGCATCTCATCTGATTGCCAATTGATTGCCTATCATAGCTTTGTTTGTGGCTTCTTCACCCCTTCAGGCGCCTCTGTCCAACTTCCCAGTCTCTCCGACCGGACTCCGACCGTTAGGACCGAGCCCCCAAAAGCTGGCTTGGAAACACGGTTCCGACCAGGGAAAGCCGCAAGACTGCCTCTTAGAAGTCGGGGCAAACACGAAGAGCCAGGCTGGTTCGGATGGTGGACCAACTCCTCATGGCACCGTTCCGCACGGAAGAATTCCCTGCAGCCATCCCGTCGGTCCGGCAAAGCGATGTGGAACCGGTGGCAGGTGTCTCGCTTGCCCAAAGACACGAGCTGGCAGGTGGTCTTCAGGTGCGTTCGAACAGCAGCGGGGTGGAGAAGGTGGCATGAAGGGGTGGCATGGTCGGGGGCGTGGGACACACGTGTGGGTGTCATCAAAAGGACCACATGGAAGGAATTGAACGAAGTCATGGAACATGTTCAATACATTATGGCATACCAGCTGCTTCCAAGCGGCTACCAATGGACAACCCTGCACTGCTTATAGGTCACCGTTGGACACCCATTGGAAGCGCTAGGTATGTAAACACATTTCATTTCCGACTCCCTGTCCAGCGGGCCCAAAAGCCCTTTGACATGGAGTCTTTCGTGCGTGATGGGAATTCCAGGTGGAATTCACATGGACAGGTGTCCACCATCAAATTTCCTTTGCTGGTTATGAGTTCTCTACCAGGACCCACGGTCTATATATTATATATATATATATTGTGTTTTTCTTGGACACCCCTTCACCATCCTTGACCATCCTTCATCATCTTCATCTCTTTTCGGGGCTATGTATATTAGACATCCCATGGCCCTGCCTACAGCCCTGCTATAGGTAGATGATGGAAGGTGCTTCTAGTCAATTCCTCATCTTGCCCGGTCCCTCCGGCCTCCGCGTGCTGCCGCTGTCAGCCCTTCGCTCAGCCGGCACTGAAGGCACGCAGACGGTGCTCCCGCCGAAGGCATGCAGGTCGACCTGCTGACCGGGTGCGCCTTCACCGGAAAGGACGCGGAGACCGACGCGGAGGACGCCGTCCTCGGACCGGTGCGGACTTGCCGGAAGAGTGGCCGTCTGTTGCGATGTTGGGGGCGCAGAGGAGTTCCTGGGGATGGGGATGGGGAACAACTGCATGGCAACACGAGGTGGCGCAGAAAGAGAGAGAGAGAGTCGAGGCGCCATGTTTGAGAAAAAGTAGAGGTGAGCGAACGGACATGCCCCTGAAGGGCAGATAGCTGGATGGTCCCTTCTTTGGAAGACGTCAACGTCTTAGTCTTGGCCCGGTCTAGCAGAAGAGCAGATGTGAACCGTGGATTAGGGGAGTTTTTGTACTTTTTTTCAAGTGCGCACGGCGCACAGGGGCCACATTCTGAGATTCAAAACTTCAAGACACCCCTGCCTTAAACCTATGCCACTATGACAATGCATGATGGACCATTCACGTTCTGCCTCTTAGAATGTTCTTACTCATGCTGACGGCGCAGGTATGTTCCTCACTTGTGATTTCTTCGGGTTTGGCGGTGCTTTGTGCCGGCTTTATCCCTGGATCCTGGAAGAGAAAGATCTTTTGATTAAGCATTATTCATACTGTGTTGAGATCAGGTATGATTCTATTTTGTGAAGATGTTTCCTCATCCCCAGCTAAACGCGAGGTGTTTATCACATGGCCAATATGCGATGTGTTTACACAGCCGCTCCGATGTTGGGACCGGTTTCAGGGAGTCCCTCCGTCCGGCAGGTACGGCTTTGAGCTGGCGATTAAGAGCAGCGAGCCGGGATGCCGAGTCGACCGACAGACCGACCGGGCAGATCACCTCCAAAGGTAAATACATGACAGTCGCAGAAGAGAACGAGAGAAGAGGAAGAACGAGGATGTAGAAAGGATAGACACAGTACTTCAGCATACTTCACGTGGACAGGGTCTGAAACTACTCTTATGGGGTCGCATAACCACTAGACAGGAGTCCACCCTGGCACTGAGCTTCTTGGAATTCACGATGGCAAGAGGGTGAACGGAGGAATCTGCTGTCTCCACGTCTGACACGTCGCCGCATCCCTCCTCATCCATGTTCTTCGATGACATGGGCCTCTCCCCAATCTGTCCCTAATAATAGTATGGGACATTTGCCCACATTTAAGTGATTTATAGTGATTTACAGATGTCTTTAGGGCAAAAAAGTAATAGTATACTCCCCTACAGGGATTGTTAGGGTAGGTAATGAACAAGGAGTTTCGACAGCCACACGTGTAGTTCGCACACGAAAGCTCGTCTCCCCGTCTCCCCTGGTCTCGCTGCCGGTAGCCGCCGTGAGAACGATCTGCCAAGGTATAAGACCCATGCAGAGGAGAAGGCCCGATTTTCTTACACAACACATCCAGCTGCAGTACTGAAAGTGTGTGCAGGTCAAATGACAAATAGCTGGACTCTTTTTTGGCGCTTTCCCAGCTGAGAAGATTCCCTCTCTGAAAGGTATCCCAGCGAGAAAACCTCCCCCCCACCGGGACGGACGAGACGGATGGGTTCACCGGTCAGGTCGAGACGCCGGAGGCCCGGGTGTGGCATGGGAGGTGGGAGTGAAACATGACACTGAGCAGGGACCATGTATAGATTATATATGATTATATATATATAGAAGCATTTTGTAAGCCCAAAACCGTTAAACATGGTACAACAATGTACAAGACATGGGGTATCCGGACTGTCCACCATGCAAGTTTCGAGGATAGATTTAGATAGTATCGTAAAAAAGCAGGATCGGGAGTGAAGCGACTTTTTGGAGGACTCCTTCTTAAACACCGGTGTTTGTATCTTGTTCGCGGTGGGTTGCTATGGTTTGGTAGTTTTTCTTGTTATGGCATTTGGTCCAATGTAGACTCTTGATGAATGAAACTCCCCTCAACTTGGGCGTGTAAGACTTCAAACTCCACTGGGGGAGTTTCTCTGTTTCGCGCCGACTCTGTGCTCTCCCCCCCTGCGGCCCCACCGACTCAGCCGTTGGCACCCCATTTCCGGCGCGTGCGACCGGGGCCGCGCGCGGTCCGCGCGACCGGCCGGGGCCGCGCGGGGCACCCCGCGGCGCCACAGCTCCCCGACGCCGATGGATGCCATGGATGGGCGAAGATGCAGGATCGAGGGGTCGAACAGGTCGGGGAAGGGTGTGGCGGTTGGGCCGAGGCAGTCTCGCTCGGAGAGGAAACGTCCGAAGAAAACGGAGACGTCCGAAGTCAGGAGAACAACCATATTGGAGATGTGAGGAGACCGTTTTGAGAGGATTGAGGGGGATGAGAAGAATCATTCGGAATCCGTGTCAAAGCAACAAAGATGGAGCCCTTTCAGCTGTCATCTCTGGAAAAGGTTACATTTACATCGGTACTTTGGATTACGCCATCTATTTCCTGTACTTTGGATTCACATGTGTGGATCCAGACTCCAGACCCAGATGCTGTTGCTAGGTGAAGCCAATTGTATTGGTGATCACGGATCATCAAGTAAATCCCATAGGCCATCTTCGGTCTTGTCCGCCATGCTCAGACTTGACTCGGCCACGACGTGACGGTTCGATCCCATTCTTGCACAGACCCCCCCCCTGCAACATGACCACCTTTGGGTTTGACCATCCCCCGAAGGGATCCATGGATCCATCATACCGACCCGGTTCGGTACCACTGGCCGGACCCTCCAGGTCGCATACATCAAACGCATCAAAGAGTGTTTGTTCTCACCTTCTCAGAGGGTTTGCGGATCCACATAGGGCATAGACTCCTTGCGACATGGGTTTCAAGTCCGTTCACCTGACGCCATCTGTCACGACAGTCTCATGTGTTTTTTCGTTCCAGGGAACCACCGCAGGTGCCCAGCGTAGCGGCGACTCTCGGTTCTGTTGGTCCCACAAGTCGTCACAAGTCATCTCTGCCTTGTCTCTTTCGCACCCAACTCTGCCTCGCTTTCGCTGCACGGCCTCCTCCACCCCAACACGCGCCGCCCTCCGCCCGCCCTCCGTCCGCCCTCCGCCAACCGTGCCACGGAACGCGTCGACGTGTGCGTTCCGAGGAGCTGTGCGCCGCGCCACGGCGGCGCTGCGAGGCAGGGGAGCGGTCGGGGAGAGGTGGGGGATGGGATATCGGATGAACGTCTTTAGTCTAGTATTGAGGGTGGGTGATGGTGTATAGATGTGTTATAGGGCCTAGGGTTTGGATCTGGGTTTTGGCATAGGTGGCCGGACATATATAAATTACTGTATATAATGAATGACTATGGGCCTATGGGTCAGTGGATTCAATGTGTTCCGGTTGATGGGACTCAGCTCGCCCAGTTCAGGTCAGCCATGGCAGCAGGCACAGCTGCTCCTGGGCTCACTGGAGATGGACGCAGTGCAGGCAGATGTGGTGGCATCCCAGCTGTGATCAGATGTGGTGTCTTTCAACATCGAACATCTCGGACCTTGACCTGATTGCAATCCGAACCAGCCTTCCTGGATGTTCGGATTTTAAGATCGATTTGCAGGCTTCCTGGTCCACCATAGATATATTTACCGCTGTTTTAGGACGGATTTTTTTCCACTACAACACCAGGTCAACCATTTTTACGTGGTCCTTGGTCCCCGAACCAGTTTCCCTTGCTCCGGCTCCATTGCTGGATCACTTGACCCAACAGCCCAAACAGCCCTTTCTCCACCCAATGGTCTCACCTTTTCCAAATTCCTCAGATTCCCACCTTGGTTTCCAAGGTCATCCGATCGCCGATCTTCTGGAAGACTTCTGTATCTTTGGAGCCTCCCAAGCTCCCCAGGCCACCGCTACCACCGTCCAAGGTCTCAGGTCTCAGGTCCCTCCCTCCCAGGTCTACAACACCTTGATGAGTGCATGCTCCCGCGCCGCGGTGTGGAAGCAAGTGCTCGCGGTTCTAGAGTCCATGGAGAAGAAGAGAGTCCAGAGCGATTTGATTACGTCTCTCTGCTGAAGATGGCAAGACAGTTGGGAAAAGGCCATTCAAGGAAAGGCTACAGGGGAGCGGAGTGGAGATGACACTGAGTGATTTGGTTGGTGGTTCTGATTTTTTTTCTACCAGCTGTTTTGCTGAGCTGATCCTCGTGAGGCTTGGTATCCACGACAATGATTGACGCATACAATACCCTCCTCAAGACTCATAGTTCACATCCTAATTAAGTGCTGTTAGCGATCGCATGTTTCAATCACTTTTCGGGATTCGAGCCAAGCGTTTTATGTTTCCTCTAAGTGGTGGGGGAGGCGACATGTTAAGTAACTGAGGCCAAGCCCAATCAAGCCCAGCAGTTGGAGCAGCCTTCTTCTTCTTTTTTCGTCGAACTGTTGGGACGGCCAGGTGGAGCTTGAGTCTCACCGCGTGTGCCAAAGCGCAACAATGGCCCTGTGCCTTGCAGCTCTTGGAGCAGCTAGAGCAGAGAGAACAAGAAGCTGATTTGTGGATCCTTGTCATAGAGTCTAGCGGAGTCTAGCGCCGGACAGGGGTTCTGAAGATGGAATTCAGAGTCGAGGGGGGCGAGTGTGGTCCGTCCGCGAACTCGGAACTCCGCGCTGTGAATGCAGGTTTCGTTCCCGGAGGTATACAACCATACATGACCATTCACCACTGCTGAATTGTCTTTATGACAGGTGCCAGCTGGAGAGGAGAACATCTTCCAACTCCCAAAAGAGGGAGGTCCCTATGACCCCGCTACGCGGATGTGCAAACACGTGGAGGTGCAGCACGTGGTTTTTGGGGTGAACACGTTCATCCAAGTAAAAGATCTCCAGGTTACAGGGAAGTGGATGACACCGTGATGATGGCCCCTACTAGGCCCTACTTGTTTGGTCGTTTTCTTTTTTGTCGTTCGCCAGATGCCGGAGGATCTATAGCGCCGCGATCAGCGCCTGTGGAAAGGGGCAGCAATGGCAGCAGGCGATATTCCTCATTGCACGAATCCTGGAGAGATTTTGAGCTTTGCCATAAAACGTGTGGATTACTCATGTATGTCCAAAAAACACAAAACATGAGCCAATCCACACGTCTTCCCAAGAGTGGAGGCCGTGTTTGGAGCTCCAAACCGGAACGAAGCTGACAAGGCCTCGGACCGTGACCTGAACATGTCTATTTGAGGAGTCCTGAAGAAGTGAAGAGGATGTGTTTCACCTGTTTCCAGAGGTCTTGGATTTGGATCGGTCGGCGACCACTTGTTCGGAGGGCAGGAACCCACACAGAAACAAAACACACATACATACACCGGTCGGCATCCTCCAAAAATGGACCAGCATGGTCGGGGCCTTAAGGCACCGGTCGCTTCTCAAGATCGGATCGGTCGACCATATCAATTGATAGGTTCTGGTCGCGAGAAACAAAGAGGTCGATCATCATTTTCAAGGGGCTGATAGAACATCAGGCTATCAGGGGCTGATATTTGGGATATTTGTCGGGTCGCGAGACACTTTTTGCAAAATTGGACCTTCCTTGGTCGATGGCAGCAGGCGGAATTCCACAATGATCCACATGTTAGCAAACTGGATTCAGCCGATCAAACTGATTTGCTCACCTAGGACTGCAGGATCAACAACTTGAAGCAGATGTAGTAGCCTATAGTGCGACCATGAGTGGTTGTGCAAAGGCAGGACAGTGGCAGCAGGCATTGCTTTGTCTAGATGCCGCTTGCTGTGGAAAGCTTTAGGGCTTGAAACTCCGGGAGACAAGCTTGCAAAGGGCAGAACACTATGTATGTAACAAGGGCATCGCTAGTAGTAACAAGGTCATTACTGCCAGTAGCAAATATATCATGGTGGATATATCCTCTATAAAATCACAGGGGTCATGGTATCCCCCTATATATCCACAGAGATGCAAATATATTACTATGGACTCGGAAGATGAACATCACCGACTTCAGGGCGTTCAGGGCGGCCCATCACCAGGAAGAAAGCTCCGATCAAACCGACGTCGAACCAGCGTTCTTCTGAGTACAGTGGGGGCAGAGACCCACGTGGAACCCGATGGCATGGACCAGACGGGCCGGTGGTTTTTGCAGGTTCCATGCATGTTGGTCTCATCCAGGGCGCATGTTCCAGGCTCCTACCAGCCAGCCCGCGATCGACCTAAGCTGGTGAATCCTAAAAAGACTCCCCCGTTTTTGAGCACATGCCCAAAACCAAGGGTTTTTATACATAAACTACCCCTAAGCTAGACTCTTGACTCATCGAATCCCCGAATTGAGATTGTAAAACCTCCTCATAAGCTTGTTGAAAATCAAGAGTCTACAGAAGAGGATCACCTGTCCCACACTGTCCCCCCCCCCTTGTCCTGCACTGTCTCGCATGGCACCGGCACACCCTCGCGCCTCTCAGGCTCTCCGCGGACAGCAACTGCTCCCAGACCTCGCCATGCTCTCTGCTGTGACCAACGCCTTGGGGAAGGGCCAGGAGTGGACTCAGGCGCCGTGCGCCCGGCGCAGTGGAAGGACGCTCATGGTGTGATTGACCAACTCAGGAGAAGTACGCACTCTACCGAAGCCTTTGGACTCGAACAGCCTTTAAGCAGACCATGACCCAGAGATGCCACAGACACCCAGAGAATACCGACTCATACCGACTCCCACGCAGATCGAGCTACTTCACACTGCGATCACTTCAGCCACCATCAGTTGATCCGACTGTTGACTGCCCCCCCGTGGCGAGATCACATCACCAGTGCCGGTCATGCCTACCAGGACCATCCGAGTATTTGGGTCCCCTGGCGGGAGAGTACCCTCCCACTACTTAGGAATCTCGGACACCCATCGGATGTTCCAACAAAAAAAAAGAGTAGAATCTACAAATGCCTGGACCCCTTTTCAACCCAACACATCTGGCCGTCATCCATGGCCTGTCTCGTGTCCTCGTGTCGCCACTCAAGCCACTCGCTCCACTCGCTCCCCAGGCCCTCGCGTGGCTCGCCTCCACCGCGGTGAACCGCTACGGCGCCTCCGCGGTGATCAGCGCCGGGACGCCCTGGCGGCTCGGTCACGGTGGGTCCGACCGACCTGGTGGAGGAGGTCAATGCTACTAGGGTAGGTGAGTGACTTCGCTCCAGGTGAGTGAGTGCCATGACCCAGAGCTATATAGATATAATATATATATAGGTCTTATTTGGTGGGACAGGTTCCCAAGCCAAATTTTCAGGTTGGAACACATTTCGGGTTCTAAGATGTTCTAAGTATTCACTGTCGTGATTTGTATGTAGTGTTTTCTTGAGCAACTTTTCAATAGTCGGCAGCTAGAAAAAGCGGCGCTACCCAGTGCTTCAACCGGGTTTAGGTCCTCAAAATGCTCAGCGTTTCAAAAGAAACAGGTCCTCTCCTCCTATTTCCGTGTCCACTCACCTCCGATTTCCGTGTCCGGTGCTCGAAACCGACCTGATTGCTTGTCTGAGGCAACGGTCCTTGAGCTTCGGCCACATCGCTGGGGCGCAGAACGCAATCTTGGCCTCCTGTGGCCAACAGCGCCACTGGCGTTGGGCACTGGACGCACTGGAGAGGTCGCAGCGACAAAATGGAGAGGTGGATGCCGTCACAGGCGCGGGGAACCCGCGGCGCGGAGAGGTGGGGGTCTGGTGGGCGAACGTGAGGATTGTTGGATGAGTAAGCGTGAGTAAGGGTGTCTGTGTGTATGTTCTTGGGTTTTTGCGATGGCCAGTGAGTGCCGGGGGATGGGAGCACTCGCGTTGCTCTCGTCGAGTCTTTCATGACTGGGACGCACTGCTTTGGGTTCCTTTCCAGCCCAGCCGAGTCTCTTCTTTGTCTCGCCAGGCAACAGTTTGGTTGGCGCTTGCACGGGTTGGCCCGAGGCATTCTGGTACCTTGCCAGCTTTCCTTGGCGGCTCTGCCGGCAGATCTGGAAAGGGAAAGATGTGGACAGACACTAGGCGATGCCCCCACCCTCAGAAGAAACTGAGAACAATCATACACACCTAATTATCCGCAAGGCATCTCCTCTGTCTTGTGCGCTGCTTGTGAGTCACACATTAAGATGGAACATGGTGGTCCCGGGAGAGGAATGGGAGCAGGTGACCGAAAGCACATGTCGACATGTTGATGACCAGTCGGGCAAATACATATATAGAAAAACATTGCACGTGAGCACACTCTGAGGCCCCAAAAGCAAGCGGACGTGAAGGCATACACTGCAGCCTTGGAAGCTTCGTTGATGACTGACCAAGATGAGGCTAAGGATGAGGATAAGGACTGATTTTGCACAACGAATAATGAATGGAGAAGAATAAGACCCACTCGTGAGTGAGTCTTTGTGATGCCATCGCCCACCCATTCAGCAAAGCCCAAGAACAATCCATGGCTGGCTGAACATGTGATAACATTTATCCCCTTCAAGCATGCTTGAAATCCTTTGCAGGCTGAGTGAAATATGGAAATCTAATAAAATAAGTTTGGCTCAAGTCTCTTACTGTAGGGTTGCAGTTAATGCCATTTTAAACACATGTCCAAGAAGCGTCCTGCTGCCTCTATCGCATCGTTGGAGCGCGAAATTGCCAAGCTCAAGAAGGAAAACGCAGAACTGCGCGGAGAAGACCCCAAGAAAAAGCCTCGGGTCGGTCGCAATGCAAAAGAGGCCTATGTGACCTGCTTGCTACTAGGACAGGAGTACCCGTTTTCCTTTGAGATGGATGACTTTGGGGCCAACTCAACCGATGAGCTTCATGCAAGTTTTCGCGAAAACCTTCGGGATGGCAAGGAGATCGAGTTCACCTTGAAGGGTGGAAAGAAGGTGGATTTGAAGAAAACGTTCGCACAAAATGGGATTGAGCCAAATAGTTTTGTGTATGCAAGATACACAGGTCCAGCCCCTTGGGGTGACTGGTAAGGTGATTTGAATGACCAGTCTTGCTTCAGGGCTGCTATGGCCATGCTATGTATGGCGCTCTGCCTCGCTCGGCTCCATTGCTTTGATGCGGAGAAAAGGTCGTTGCTCGCCGGACTCCTTTTCACAGGAAGAAGCGACTAGGAACAAGGTTCGCTACTAGAGGCTCCTGGCATCGCTACTACGTAGGAGCAAGGACGCTACTAGGGGCTCCTGGCATCGCTACTGGGAGCAAGGACGCTACTAGGGGCTCCTGGCATCGCTACTGGGAGCAAGGACGCTACTACGGGCTCCTGGCATCGCTACTAGGAGCAAGGACGCTACTTGGGGCTCCTGGCATCGCTACTAGGGGCTCCTGGCCTTACTACTAGGA